AAGGTTAGGGTACCACAGCAGCAAGCTGCTTTTCTCTTTTTACTTGGATACTCAAGACTTACTTGTGATAGCAAGTCATAAGCTGTATAGATATGGTTGTCAGATGGGACTCCTATGGAAATAAAGCCATCTTTATTCCAAAGTATCATGCAATCCTAAAAAATGAAAGATGATTGCAATTGGGAAGGCTAGGAGTGATATGAAAATAAACAATACTATTTTAATGTGTCTGCATGTTCATGTGTGTCTGCACATATATGCACTTGTGTGGAGATCAGGGTACAATCTTTGGAAACATCCTCAGGAAGTCCACCTTCTTTGAGGCAGGGTTTCCAGATGAACTGGGGTTCACCAGGTACGCTAGAGACATTGGTCAGTGAGCCCTGGGGATTCACATGTCTCTACCTTGACAGAGCTGGGATGACAAGCTTTCACCATTACTACAGGTATTTTTACTTGGGTTCTAAATATGTAACTCAGGTCATCATAATTACAAGACAAGCACTTTACCAACTGAGTCATCCCTGAGGCCCATCGTGCTGCCATTCCAGTTCTGTGGAGGCAGAAATATGGGAACCCTGGATCTAGGGAGGTGGTCCTGGGCCGTATAAGGGAGCTAGCTAAGCATGAGCCTATGAATAAGAAAGTGAGCACTGATTTCTACTTCAAGCTCCTGCTTGCATTCCTTCCTAGAGTTCCCAAATGATTTCTTCTTCCTAGTTGCTTGAGTAAAATGTAACAATGAGATGACTTTGAGGTCTATGATTCTAACAGTAGGTGCTATAATGAAATGCAAAAATAAAACAAAGACTTCAGAAGAAAATAACCCTAATACAAGCCCCAAAAATATATTCAATAATCCTTGAGACACACAAGCACAAACACTACCATAGAATTTATTTTTACTTTATTAACAATGTGGCTTACCATGTTTTCAAGTAAAAAGGGTTTTTCATTTAGAATAAAAATTAAAATATAACTCTGATATATATTTTCATTTATGTACATGGAAACATATATACAGAATACAATCTTACAACAAACTGAGAGAGCATGCCCTTTGTCCTTTAAATTTCAAAAGTAAAGACACTGATTCTTTTCTCTTTTATGCACCAAAACATACACAAGATATGAACCAAATTTCAATACAAACTTTTCAAAGTGGAACGTGAAAGATAAAGGGCTCCTGCCCCTAGTGAATGCTTACACAGATCATGTTAGCTTGCATTCTGAATAACAGGCACGATGTTTACCTTTTCTATTATTCAAAACAAAAAACCCTTCCTATCAGTTTTCATCATAAAGTAAATTTAGCAAAAAGATTGTTCTGCCTTTTCCTTCTTCAGTATTTCTCTTTGTCCTGCCCAAAGCAATGCTCTGCCTTGGTTTTATGACATGACCCACACCCTCACTGGTGCTGAGCCCTATCCATCAAAAGAAAACGGAACAAGGAAGTCTATAGCTCAGAAAACTGAATCATTACTTATCGTTTAAACCACAAAGGCGTTTTAAAACTAAAACCAAAGAAAATCAGGCAGGACAGCAATTATGATTTTTTTTCAGTAAATTAAATGGATCATCAATACCACAATTTCATTTTGTAATATCACATTTTGGAAACCTCTAAACCACCCTAGTTTTAAAAGCTATAAGAATTAAGCAACTTAAAAAGTTAACCCAGTTAATGAGAATAATTTTCAGAAAATTTGTGAACAGAAAGGAATCGTGAGCAAGTAAGACTAGACTGTATGGTCACCATTTCAGCTTCTCCTTGCTAGTTAATTATTGCACCAAAGAGACACAAGCAGTAGCTGTCCCCAGAGACTTCTTCCATAAACACTACAGAAACCTTAATTTACATTTTCTCCTTCCAAATAATTGCACTCAATCACAGCTCTCCAAAGACAGAATAGAGAGGAACTGGAACCTAGATTCACTATCCTAACCCAAAAGCAGCAACGTCAAATCACAACAAAGATCCTACTACTGTTCTGTTCTAGTTCTATATACAGAAATAAATATAAATGGGTGTTATACAAAATAAGCTTGAAAACCCCGAGTGCTTCCAAAACTAAGGGACAACTCTCAGGAAGGGGTGTTTGGTGTAAGATAGAAGACAAACCCAGTATTAGTCTCTTAGAACACTCAAAATTCTAAGACAGATTAGGAGGGACCTAACTTCAAAGGGCTGATAAAAAGGAACCATATAAAGATGGCAGTAAAGGTCAGATGTGGCAGTGTTAAGGTGTGTATCATTCTAATTTATTGAGGACCAAATAAAAGCAAACATAGGAAATGACTTTTTAAATATGATCAAATAAGGTCTAAGGACTTAAATAGCTATAGAGCTCAAATACTGTCTGTGAGTTGAACTCTGATCAAAGGCATCCAATTTTAAAAGTGACAGACCTGTTCTGTGAGCTCTAGGTTAAATGCTATGGTGAAGGATACCATGGTGAACAGCAAAGATATTCAATGCCAGTATACTCTGCTTTGATCTGGATATGTTTTATTTTGTGGACAGGATAATTTTTTATAATACAATGATTTCTTACAGTACAAATGCAATCAGGAAGTTAAGGACTATAATAAACTCCCTGAAATTTAGAGTGGGAATAAATGATGGACTGACATTATGTAAGCTGAGGTGGTGTTTCTCTTCCTTAATTGCATTGCACAGACTATAGGATGTCTGCTTGGCTGGTTATAGGAGGCAATGAATGGTGTGATGTACCCAAGATGTGGGTATATGAAGGAGAGGACTCCGATTTTCAAAGATAATCAGAGAGATAATGGAATGTTACTATCCAGGAAGGAACAGGGAGAGGGCATCATTTGACTGTATTTAGAGAATATGTTGGTGTACATGCTATGGTGGCATGTGAAGAATGTGTATAAGATCCATTTCTTTTTCTGCCGTAGTAATGGGGATATAGAGCAAATTGTTCCTTTGAATCAGACCCATGTTTAAGACAGAAGCAGAGGAGATGTGAGTCTAGAGAGAAAGGAAGCCTACTTTACAATTTGGTAACAAAATTGCTATCTGCATGATGGGCACACCATCCTGAACCAAAGCTCCGGAGGACCCTGACACGTCTCAGGAAGAACATCCCCTTCCATCCTCAAATACTGGAAGGCTGGGCTATGATGAGGATGGCCCCTAGCTGGACACTCTTCTGCTATGATTACTATCACCTCTTCCTTGCTGAAGCTGAAGACTAAGAATGAGGCTGGAGGGAATGATACCATGCAGAGAAACACTGACGTTAAACTGCACGGCCAAAGGATAAGGACAGGCTAGGGTATCTGGTTCCATAGGATGAAGGGTTTCTGACCAATGGTGGCCATATCCTGACAGGGTTTTCTGTAATATTCTTCCGGCTCTTTCTGTGGGCTCAGCACTTGCTCCTTAGTCTCATTACTGGCAATGGCATGAGAATGTGACATGTGTTCTCAACGCATACCATGTTCTAGCAATGCCACAGCCATATCCTGGTTTTAGATTCAAAAGAAACAGCTCATCTTGAGAAGGCCACAGTGAAGGACCAAGAAGAAGTTAGTACGGGAGAGATGCCACACCATCTTGAAATAGATACCCTTTCCAACAGATAGATTGAGCCTTTATAGCCAAAAACCACAGCTGAGGAAGGCATGAAGCTTAGAAGAGAGGAATTCAACTGCAAGCCAACCATGAAGTCATCAGCATGGGGCGCCTTCATCCTTACAGCACCACAAAGGACCCAATCCAACCATCAGTTGTCCCTAGGCATACCCATTTATTCACCAAAGGTCTATAGCTTGACATTAGAAAAGCAGCTTTTGGAAAGAGTCTCAACCACAAATAATTTGTTTTCTGGCTGATCAGCAACCATTGCACAATCTCAAGAATTGTTAGCAAAAGCAATCACATTTCTGAAAGCCTGGCAGATTGCCATGCCTAAAAATGTTGCCAAAAACACAAGCAGTTATCAGCCTGTCATACCATGTTCTGGGACAGTTGAGACTCTAGTCAAAGAGACAAGATTAACATAAAATCAATATAGGAATGAAGTTAAGCTCCCCAGATGAACATGCACTCCTAAACAGAGTCAAAGTCTGGTTTCCTTGCATGGTTTTAAAAGGACAGGGGGCGTGGCCTCCATGTCATAATGTACCTCAGCCCTTTTGGGTCTATAAGCTCATGTTGAACCACTCATGAGAAAACACAGATGAAGTGCTGGGTAGAAAGATCAGCCAAATCTTTTAATCACTGAATATTCTATAAACGACTTAGTGAGATTTCATAAGCAACCTCAAAGAGATTGAAATGTGGGAACTGAAAGGTTAAGTTCTATGGCCCTGTTCTTTGTCTCATTTTGGTCCACCTGGACTCCTCTAGCAAGAACAAGGAGAAAGCTGGGGGAGATGTATACACAATGCCTCACCACTAAGGGTCTTAACTTTTCCTTCAATGGGAGCTTGAGTCCAGAGTGGTGGGGAGTTACCCAAGGACATGACATTGGTCATTAGCAAAGTTGGGATGGAAACCAACTGAGTCCAGATCCAGCATTAGCTCTGCTATGTTGTGCTATGTTATTGCTTTCTCATGCTTGACTCACGTGTGGTGAGCCAGAAGAGAGGTGCAGAGGGGCTCGTTTGCAGTGACCGGATGTGTTAACATTTCTAAGTGAATACATCTAGTTCACAAAACAATTCCCCAAATCTCTTCCCATGCTTGCCCTCTGAAAGCTCTTCCTTCAATTTGGCATTTCCCTAAACTGGCCTCCTGACTGGTCACAGTGATCTTAGAACATTGAAGCTATGGTTCTGCAGGAGACTATGGAGAGTGCTTGCCACCTCCAGCATTCTAGGCTCTGCTTACACAGTAGCTGTCTACTGTGAGCAGCCATACTTGTGAAAAGGCACCTCTTCCGACAGAGGATAGAGCTTAGCACGTAATTTTATATAAGCATCCTGAAACAGAACCTGCAGTTGTGTTGGAGAAAGGAGTTGTCGACGAGATCAAATGGGACAGCTGGGGACTCTAAACCACAGTAGTTTGCATGTGTGGGGCAGATACATGTGTAGAAGAACCTGAGAGTGAGGCAGGCAAGGCTGCCAGCGAGTCAGGGATTCTGCTTGGAGGCACTCAGTCCATCTCAGTTTTCCAAGAACCTGGAGCTCAGTATAAGGAAACCTGGCTTACAGGAAGCTGCCTAGTTTGGGTGGGAGAAAAATGAAACTCGGAGATGAAGAAGCAAGTCCAGAGCTGGGGAGGTTCCATCTCCGAACTTTCACTACAGTCCCAGAAACTGCTGCTGCGGTCCTTCTATGTGCTTTAGAAACAGAACCATCAAACAGGCTGGTGCATGAAGGAGGTGTTGGGCTTCTGGCTTTTGGAGATCCTCAATGAATGTACCATTTCACAAAGCCCAGACAATCAAGGTCTCATTCCTGGAAACGTTCACAAACACAGCATCACGAGAGAGAGGCACTACACCCAAGAAAGCCAGCTGAGTTAGTTGGCATACTGGGCATAGAAAGCCACTTTCACTCGCTCGATCTGGTGGCATAACTTGATAGCAGGTCCCAGCTTCAGCTCCATACACTCCTGCACTGTTGGGAGAGTCAGCAGTAGGAGTGCCTGGCCATCAATGTCCTGTCAGAAGATAAAACCATGTTAGAGAAGTAGGATATACTTGAAGGATGTGCTTGTGATGTCAAGCTTTGTCCTGGAGCTAAATATATAAAGAACTGTTCTTACTGCTATTAATTGGGGAGCATATTATCATAGGTAACAATTAACTTGACAGCCACTGGATGCTTATGTTCATAAAATGTGTGTGTGTGTGAGAGAGAGACAGAGACAGAGATAGAGAATGGGGATATAGATGGAAGTCACAGGAAAATCCTGGATCTTGGTCCTTGCTCTCTATCATGCTTGAGACAGGGTATCTCTCTGAGGCTAGCTGGCCTGGAATTCTGTCTCTCAGTTCCTCACAGGAGAGTGGTAAGATTACAGACACATGTACACTATTGCCTCTGGACCTTATGCAGGCTCTGAGGATACAAACTCAGGTCATTGGCGTGTACAGCCAGTGCTTTACCCTTTGAGCTACACCATCTCTCCAGCACCAACAAAGTAATTTTTGTTGAGAATATTTCAGCTTCCCTGAAGTTCCTAAACCTCTGCTGGTGGAGACAAGCAATGGGACAGATAGGAGGCTCCACAAGTTGTTTCCCAAGCTCAGCCTACCATTCAGGGACAGTAATTTCTTCCTTCCAGGCCAGGTCCTTCTAAGTGCCATAAAATTGCTGGATATTAAAAAATAAGAGTTTTGACAGGCTTTGGGGGTGTGTGCCTTTAATCCCAGCATTCAGGAGGCAGAAGCAGGCAGGACTCCATTAGTTCAAGGCCAGCCTTATCTACAGAGTGAATGCCAGGATAGGCTCCAAAGCTACAGAGAAGCCCTGTCTCAAAAATCCAAACAGAAAGAGAGAGAGAGAGAGGGAAAGAGGAAGGGAGAGAGGGAGGGAGGGGGAGGGAGGGAGGGAGAGGGAGGGATGGAGGGATGAAGGAAGGAAGGGTTTCTTACTACTTTGTAAGGTCTGATATCACAGGATAGGTGATAAGACATCAAAGATGGAAAAGTCAACTAACATAGTGTAATATTTTACAGAGGAAAATACATAAACTCACTCATGTGTGTGTATATATGTGTCTAAAGATAGACACACACACACACACACACACACACACACACACACACACACACACAAACTATACCTGGCCCACTTAAATTTTCCCATTGTCACATAGTGATAAAAATGGCCAGCCTATATCACTAGTGCTACATGTACCATGTCATAAACCATCATTTATTGCTGATGAAATCTTGAGACTATGCTATATTCAAATGGGACCCAAATAAATAAAATGCCAATCAAACGGCCCTCTGTAAAACATCTTTGGAAGAAAATCTTTTAGTACAGAAGCTACCCTCCAAAAGCATTAAGATAAACAATCTGCCAGATGTACAATAGATACAGATACATAAAAAGTATGCAAAACAATTAAGACTATATGATGTCTTTGGAGGAACCCAATAGCAAGTGACACACCCCTAAAGAAATGAACATTTTTTTTTTCATTCAAAAGGATGGCTCCATGGAAGATAAACGTGATACAAGAGAATACAGACAAGACAGTTCAATAAAATTAGGAGAATAGCTCCTATTAAAAAGACAAATTTAGCCAAATGATGAAGGTTAGGAAAAAGAACCAAACAGAAACCCTGGAGCTAAAGAACCAAGTAAGTAAACAGCAACAAACACAGGTGGGAGTCTCGGCAATTGGGCAGGGAGAACTCCATACCTGGAGAGAATTCAGACACAAAAGGAAAGAGGGAAAAGGAAGCAACTGGGCCCTAAGTGATGCCACTAAATGAAGTAATATTCAATGAGTGTGTGGGTGGTAAAAAATCTAACTGATGAAATAATAGTCACAAATAATTGAAATCTTAAAAAAAAAAATATGGACATTCAGATCCAGGAGGCTTAAAACACCACAAGAGGACATAGTGTAGTCAAATTACCCACAAGAAAGACAGAATCTTAAAACAGCAAGAAAAAAGTGTCAAGCTACACATTAGGGAATCATTGTGAGGTGACAACAGATATCTCAGTTGACATATGAGTAAACAGAAGGAAGCGGCACATTAAAAGTCCCACAAGAATGAGTACCAGGCTGGCCAGATCTCTATACCAAGACTGGATCAGAGGTATAAAGTGACACTAAGAGTCAATGGTAATACACTCAACTCAGACTGCAGAATTTCAACCACATGAGGTTTTATACTCTGGGCTCTCATGAACCATAAGGACTCAACAGCCTTTCACCATTGTTTAGGTAGACATTATAGAAACCACATAACAACAAAGTTCATATAGAGATCTTCTCTCATCTTACAGATGAGGTGCAGATGGAGGTCAAGAAGTCAACAAGGGTGCTCCTTGAGTGCACAGTGCACTGCTTTGGAGAAGGCATCAATAAAGCAAGAGATAGGCAGCTGCTGTGTTCCCCTGGATCTACCCTCAACACCTCAGAGAACAACAACAAATGTCTTTTAAGTAGATAATAGATCCAGACCACCAGGGATGCAAGGAAGCCCACCCCACTTTTAAGTCTTTTCCAAAACTTTTTTTTTTTCCTTTAGGGAAGAGTTTGTAGAATATCTATGGAGCATAACTGTGAAGATTATGAGGTTTTAAGACCACCACCTTGACACGGTTAAATAAGGATTAGGATAAACAAATAGGCCGAATAGATGTTTATTCAGGGAGAAATAACTTACCACCTAGACAGATGAACACCAGGAAATTCAACCCGATCCTCTCCTGTCCCTCTCCTGTCCGAGTCACGCCAGCAAGAGGGCCTTTCCTGGCTCTCCCTCCGACCTCCTTCCACAGGTCACTCCGCCCATGGCTTCACCCCCAATGGGCGTGGTCAGTGCCACAGAACTATCCCACTACACCACCTCCTTCCTAATTGCCAAGGTGGCCATGCTGGGAACCTTAAACCACCCATAAAAATAAACCATTTTCTACTTGACTCTCTTAAAATAAATGTACTGGACAAGCAACACCCTACACGGACGACATGTACCACAGTGATCACGACTGTCAAACCCTTCGCTCAACCAGAATGTACTTGATTGACTTGGGTACAGTATTCAGAACACAAACAGCACACAAATATTCCATGAATGGGTAGAGATTTAACATGGGTGTGAAATTATAATAAAGTTAGTTCTCAAGACTAAATGGTAAAGACCTGCTTCCATTACTTTCCAGATCTGGGTGGAGAAGAACATAGCCTCTTTTGCAGGATCATATCTCTTGATGCTTTCAGGAAAGTGTTTTATTATCCACTGTTATTCACTGTCAGCTATACCTGCTATGTCTTTGCTACCACGGTTTCTTTCCAACCCTTCAGTCACTGCCACTCCAGGAGCCTCAGTACAAACCTGACTCCAGTTTCACCAATCTGCAAGAACACTCACCTCCCTACCCAGCTTTATAGTTTTGTTTAGTTGGTGTAGGTTTCCCGAGCTACTATAACTGGCATCTCTCCCATGACCCAGTTCAGTACTATATCTTATGCAGTTTTTCTGCTTAAACTATAACCTCATAACTACAATCGACCACCATTTTACTCTGGTCTGGGCATCTCCCAATTACGTCTTTGTTTGATACCTCAAATCAACCCTACATTGAAAAGTCCATTTGGACTGTTGTTGGAATGTGGAGGAGAGTACATACTCCACTCCCAGCTGGGTGACCTGGAGCACAGGTAACAGAGAACACCTTTGAGGTTCTTTCCTTCCCCCAAGAACCTGCTTCCCTGAATTCTACACAGAAGCTACCCTTTCATCTAAGGGATGAAGAATGTGGGCTAACAGCTGAATGAAGCTCTGGTTGCAGGCGAATTCAGTAAAGATAACCAATATGACTGATTAGAGGCCCTTCACTCTTTTTAATATACTAAGGTATGTAGGTAATAGAACTGAAAAACCTTAGCTGTAGTTGTATAGAATTCTGTCAGCAAACCATGAGAGGATTTGAGTTCAATGCTTGGCACCTATATGCCATTCTTGAAGTTATTTACCCCAGGAATTGGCTGTGAGTGCTGTAAAAGAATACCTTGTCTGGGGATGGCTCATTGATAAAGTGTTTATATAAACACAAGGACCAGAGTTCAGGTGTAGCTGTGTATGACTGGGCAGAGATGGGAAGATCTCTGGGGTGTGCTACCCAGTCAGAATTCCAGATTTAGTGAGAGACCCTGTTTAAAAAAAAAAAAAAGAAATGTAGAGGGCCTGGAGAGACAGATGGCTCTTGCTGAAGACTTGAAACTAGTTCTAACTTTAGCTCCAGGGGATCAGATATTCTCTTCTGGCTTCTGTGGACATCTGAACACAAACTTACATACACACACATACTTGTAAACACACACACACTATTTTAAAAAAATTTAAAAAATGAAGTGAAGAATGATTGAGGAAGATACCAGATGTTGACCTCTGGCCTCCATATAAACATGTGCACATGCATACATGAGCACATGAGCATACACATACACACATAAGATAAATAAAAGTCATGAGATGAGGAATCAACTCAGAAACTGATTCTACAATGACCTTACATAGAAGATACTGGGCAGTCAGCCTAATTGTTCAAAGAAATACTATGCTCTTTCATCCTCTCTCTGGGACAGGGTTCCATAGCTTGTTGTGCAATGTGGTGGTAAAGGCCGCCCTGGGGTCAAGGCATTAAGGAGAATGGCAGATCTCATAGACGCCATGCAGACTGGAAGAGACCACTTACAAATGATGCCAAGGACCCTGAAATATCATTCTCTGACCTTTTCAGACAAGATGCCACTCCTCCTGCTCCTAGACTTCCTCAGAGGAGAACAAATGAGAAGGAACATTCAGCTCCCTTCTCCTACTCAGCCAGCCACAGTGATGAGAGCAAGTTTACAGGGGGGTTAGCTTTGAAGTCATGGGTTGGAGTGTGGGAAATACTCCATACTGTCTGGTGTGGCTGTCAAGGTTGGCAGCCTGGAAAAGAAGCAGAGAGAAGCCACCTTTGGAACTATCTAGGGCCTGCCTTTCCCGAGTTCCACAGAAGCAGCCTTTGGACATCTGGGGCTAAGATGAACTCAAAAAAAAAAAAAAAAAAAAAAAACCCAAAAATCACTGTACAAGAAGTTGTGTGGAAGGAAAGGGTTAAAACGAAACAAACTGATTAACCAGAGATCCTTCACCTTCCTTTTTATCTGGGAAAAATTCACCCCAAACTAGGCCTGATATCTAGAGATGGGAAGTGCTTAAAATTCTGTCTGTCCATATTTGAGCCACCTGAGGTTCCATTATTGCTACTTCTGTGCTCTCGATTCATTTCCCATTCTCCCTAAATGATGAGAGTTGTGATTTTGAGAAGATCATGCCAGGCCTCTAATTCCCATGCCGCCTGCTAAAAACAGCTAGGGTTGGAAATTGAGTCACCTTGCTGCCACTCTTGTGCAAAGACTAATCCTAGGCCTCCTCTTAATTTGGACTCACTCTTGCTGAATATTCCATATAGGCAATGCTTGTTGCATCTTCATAGTGGGGTTGGAAAGAGAAAAGGGTAAACAGGAAAAAGCTCTGCAAAGGGGATGCAGATATGGTGTTGGAAAGCATAGAAGAATGAGTGGGAAATTCCTTTGTACCAAGTGTCTCAGAGTAAGCTTTAGTTCAGTCTAGAAGAAGCTTGGTTTTGTTTTTGTTCCTTGTGGATTGTGTGGGTTACACACCAGACTCACAGCTGATTGAATTTTTATAAATATGCTCCTGTAACATTCATAAACACTGACAGATCAGTTGTTAAATTAAATAGAATCACTAATAGATGACTAATTTTAAGGAGATGGACTCATATAAAATATACAACATAAAAATTAAGCAGACTTACCATAATTGCAGAACATTTTGAGGGAATAAGAAATTACATGATATACATCACGAAAGTTATACTAAGGACATGGAAAATTGTTAGTAACTTGTACAGAATTCTGATTCAGATGTGGCAGTTCTTTAAAGGAGCTATCTGCGTGGTGATGACATGAATTAAAGGGTCCATCCTAAATGCTAACATGTTAAAGCTTTAGGATAGTGATCTGATCCTGAGGACCAGGACCTGACCTAGGTGTGTGCACTGAGTAGGTCACTGAGGGCTGGCTTTGGACCTTGCCCCTGTGTTTGTTTGCTTTCCTATCACCCATAAGAGTGTGGATCTGCTTCACCATGGTACTCCTCAATGACACTGCCATGGAACTCAGAAATAGCAGCCCACTTGACTACAGACTGTTTAACAGAAGTTAAACTTCTCTCCTGTAAATTGCGATGAAAATGGACAAACATGTGGACCAATGGAAATGAAGAAGTAGAAACCCTCAAAGACAATTAAAGCTGTCAACAATCCTTTAAAGTTTTCATAAACTAACAACTTACTCAGGCAGTGTGCTTCTCCTGTGAGCAGGCTGATCGGCAAAGAGCGAGCACACAGACCACGCTATTCAGGGTGTGTGTTGAAAAACACATTACAGATGCATGGACTTTCACTGAATAATGTTCAGATTTGCAGCATGAAATTATTGAGAATAGATTTTACTAAGAGACTGCTACAGCATTTCAGAAATAAAAGGTACGGATGCTGGTAATGGAAACTGTGTAATATCTGCAGTCGCTCCTGGTGATTAGCACCGTCTCCGAATTCCTAACATCCCTAGGCGTGAACGCACACAGCTATTACCATTCTGTACACTGTGATCTCCGGTACCAGACAGCGAATAAGCTGCAGGCACCTAGTTCATGTGACAGCTCAGAAAATGCCGGAGGCCTCGCCCAATCAGGGTGCTGTCATTTGAGCAAAATGATGATAGAACAAATTAGTAAAAATAAGTCATTAAAAGTCTAATGGGCCAGAAAGGACTCAAGTGTCCGCACACTTATGCAGCCCAGCAGGCAACACTTTTTTTTTTTAAACAGTTGAAAATCCCTAATGTGAAATGCAAAATTAATTGGGAACAAGACTCATCCATTAGAGCCCACCTAACATCTAAATCAAGGACAAAGCTTTTAGCTGATGGCAGAGGGGGTGGGTGAAGGAAGCCTTTGTCCACTCTGAATCTACAGTGCCAGCAATGTTCATTTCCTTGGAACTTTCTGAAATATTGCTGGAAGCTGGGCTTAGCGGTGAGATAAAGGGGGAAGTTTTACTTAATCCCTCCCCATGAGTCAACATCTCCCAGGAATCTATAGAAGGCAGCAACACAGGAGCCTAGCAACCATTCATGCTACACATATTCCTGAGTTCCCACCTAACTCAGGATCTAGAAGTGACAAAGGTCTCGTCTTTATTCTGCTCACAATAGAATGTTTCTAAAATGAGCGTGGAACATTGGAGCCTAAACTAAAAGAAAATGAGATTTTTATGAATATCACATTTCATTGTCATGTTTTGGACATCATGAAGCATACAGTGGTGTTTGTCAGTACACATGGACCAACACACACATGGTGATGCATTTAAACCTACATAGACAGAATCTGTTATATACTTGAAGACAACAGGTTTCTGCTTAGGTTATGGTCAATTTTTGGTGGTGCCACTATGCCTAAGTACCAATCTTGGAAAATGCTGGGTTTTCTAACTATTATTGCTTTGTGCTTATTTCTAAGACAGAGATGCAGTTTTATGATTAAGCTCCATATCAACTAAGCTACAGACTGCCATTTCCTCTGTCTTATCTGTTTGTTGCAATGAAGGGAGCAGGCCCATTACCCTCATTCTTTAGTTCAGTGTGTCTCCTTGTCTGCCTCCCTGTCTCTACCCAGAAAAGAAGAGCAGTGAATGCCAGAAAGCCAAGGGCCAGCCCTCCTGTCTGCCTCCTATTCATGCCTTCTATATGACCTTCTCTGAGTCTGCAGAAGTTTCCAGAATGGAAGAGATTAATCACTTTGTCTCGTGGATATCAAGGAAAAAGAGCTTGTATACCAAGAACTCCACTCCTGGGAGTAGGAAGCAGAGGAGTAAGATGTTCATTGATTTGCTTTTTACAACATATTACTGCACTGAAATGGACCAAAAGATAGGAAATTCCCTATGTAATTGGGAAAACAGACTTTTTTCTTTCTGTCTTAATGTTTAAAATTTATCTTCCCTAATTATTAGCTTACTAAATCTAAAAATACACTAGGTAGGCATATCTTGAATCAATTATATGGAAAACTAAATAATATTAGGTCTTAAAAAGACATATTTACTCTGCGATGTTGTGCTGTGGATTTTTTTTTGTTTTTTTTTTTTTTTTTTGTTTTGTCAACTAAACATATAGTCATCAGGGAAGAGGAAGCCTCAGTTGAGAAAATGTCCCCATCATGTTGACCTATAGGCATCTTTGGGACATTTTCTGGATTAATTATTGATTTGGGAGAACCCAGCCCACTGGGAGTGGCACCGCCTCCGGTAGCCTTGGGTAATATAAAATATAAGAAAGACCTCTGAGCTGAGCTGGTGGACAAGCCAGCAAGCAAGTCCCATCTTGTTTCCAGTTCTGGCCTCCAGGTTCCAGCCTTGAGCTCCTTTCTGAACAACCCTTCATGAAATACTTTAAGCTGAAAGTGGAAATAAACTCTTTCCTCTCCAGGTTGCTTTTGGTGGGCATTTTATCACAGCAACAGCACACTTGTACCAGAGTGGGCTACAGTGTGAATTGGGGGGGGTACCTAGAGGTCCACTCCTGTCTTTGTCAGAAAACCCTCATCCTTATGAGACAATTAAGAACCAGAAACAAGACACTCTCTCTCATGTCAGGTGCTAAACACCATAGATGAGCCCACTTACAGGTGTCAACTATAACAAGCAGATGAAAGGCACCTGAGGCTTTACTCCTACCTGGTAGGTCATGAAAAAGCCAGGTAAGATAGATAGTTCCTTTAGGATCTAGTCTTTGGGCTGGAAAGACAGCTCAGTCAGTACAGTAGTTTCCCAGGGAGTATAAGGACATGATCACAACTCATTTTTACAAAGCTAGGTGTCATGGTACATGCCTGTAATCCCAGCACTTGGCAGGTGAGGCAGAGACAAGTGTGTCCCTGAGGCTCATTGACCTATCAGTCTAGCCTACTAAGTGAGTTCCAAGCCAGTGAGTGAAACTGTCTCAAGAAGGTGATATCATTTGAGCAATGACACCCTGTGGTGTCCTCAGGGCTTCACATTCTTACACATACGAATGCACATAAGTGCACACACATAAACACACATATACTTATGCACAAACATACAAACACAGAGAGAAAAGAACTGGAGTCTAGAAAATAAGCCTACAACATAGCAAGCCATTGTACCTGCTCCTGAAAGATCTTGGCCAAGGGCGCACAGTCGGTCAGCTTGATGAATCGTACCACGTCTGTGACCGTCCACTCCAGTGGATTGCTCTCCAGAATCAGTCTTTCCTCCTCCTCTTGCTTTGTTTCCTGCAGGGAAGGAGGCAGAGGACTGTCACCACACACTGTAGGGCCAGCTACATCTTTCTAATAATCTGCATGCCTCAAGCACACTGTGGGACCAGAACTCCTATCTCTCTGGTCTCTCACTGGACACACAGACAGTCACAGAGCTCAGTCTCTATGGAGTTTCTTAGCAACCTGTCTCTGGTCACTTCTAACTTGCAATGGTCTGGGTATCTCCAAAGACTCAAGAACAGTAACAACAAAGCATACGGCCAGGCTAGGAGAGAATGGCAAAATACTTGCCCTGCAGGCATAATGATCAAAGTTCAATATCCAGATCATACATTTAAAAAAAGAAAAAAAGCAAACAAACAAAGAACTGGTGGTGCTGGGGAAGTGGAGGCAGGAGGATTCTGGGTCTTGCTGGCCAATCAGCCTAAACTACGAAGCGCTAGGTATGAAATACCCTGTTTCAAAACATAAAAATAAATAAATAAAAATAAAAGAAGAAAGAGTGAAGAATGGATGGCTCCTAAGAAATGACATCTGAGATTGACCCCATGGCATAGTGACTGCCAATCTTGAATGCCTGGTTCAGAACTTCTAGGGCCCAGTTACTGATTACAACACAAGCAGATACTAAGCCGTCCAGCCAGACCCATGCAGTACAGCTCAGTCACCATTCACGTTCATTAAGATGGTGCCAAGGACCTTTGCAGCTGTTCGCACAGCACCTATAGGGTTAGGGGTGTCAAGTATGCTGATTTAATGTATTAGGACGTTAGAGACATGTCCCATATAGGAGAAAGTGATGCAGAATTCAAGTGTGGAAATGGGAGATGCAGAGATGGCATTTGAGGATCCACAACTGGAGGAATGGACCTTCTCTACCTACCTGACTGAAAGTTCAGGGGGCTTAACACCACCCAGAAATGAAGACACTTTTCCAGCCCTAGAAACACCTCTCTGATGTTTCCTCATCCCCTCTACCAAGAGGTAAAATCATGCTTTTGTTCTTAGGACTTAGGAATTTGGACAGAGCATCTATGGTCATTTCTGATATTTTAAATAGTTTTTTTTTTTTTTTTTTTTTTTTTTTCTGAATCATACCCTGAGCTCTACTCTATGTCCTTAAAGATGAGTCACGGACCCTCCACTCTCTGAGCTTACCTCTGGTTCCTCAGGCCTAGCAGTTGGACCCTTGTCTCCTTCATCAACAGATGCAGTGGTTGGCACTGGGCGGGCCCTTCGTGCCCTCTCCACTGGAGGCCGCTTCACAGCCTCTGAATTGCTCCTCAAGGTCACGGCCCTCCGGGGCCGGGCAGAGGGCACCTCTGCTGATGAGGTGTCTGTCTGGTCATCTCGGACCTCGGAGCCAGTTTCCTCACTTGCAGTGTCATCCTCCAGGGCATCTGCATCCTCCTCTTCACTCTCCTAAGAGGGAGGGATGTGCTTAGTGGGGGTGGGTTGATAGGGACTTGAGTGAGCACAGTGAGGTGACTCTCATGGGCAGGCACATTGCCAGGCCCTGATGCCACTTCACTTTACTTTCTAAAACATAGCTCTTGGCAAGGTTTGTCCATGGAGGCCTTCTACAAACACGTGCGCACGCACATGCATGCACACACACACACACACACACACACACACAAAGTTCAAGGCCAGTTTGAGGTACATAGGGAGACTCTATTTCAAAATTTAAGGGTTAGGTTGTAGTTCAATGGTAAAATGCTTGCCTAGTCTTCACAAGGCTGAGCATGATCTCTTCTATTCCCCCCCCACACACACAAAAACCAAACAGAGCAGGCAAAAGTGTTTGTGACACAAACCTGGCAACCTGACTTTGACCCTGGGATGCCACAGTGAGAAGAGAAAACAGATTCCCAGAAGTTGTTTTCTAACCTCAACAGGTGCACCCACAGCAGGCTCACAACTGCATTCTCATTCTTCCTGCCTTCTCTTACACACACACACACACACACACACACACACATGCACACACACACACACGCACACGCACACACACAGAATAACTAAAATTAAAACCAAACAAAAACACCTCTTCCAACACTGGAAGCCCTTTGAGGACAGCCTACCTCCCCGGAGCCTGCTGGGAAGTCGACAGCAGAAGATCTCCGTCTCTTCTGCACAAAGACAGATTTCCGTCGTTTTCTTCTCCTGGCTGGTTTCGGATGCCCACTTTCGATGGTGCTTTCCCCAATGGGGGGTTTAACGATCTTCTTTCTTTTCCCATAATAATAGGCTACAGGGAGGAAGATGGTCTTACTGAGTACAACCAATGATTGGTCCATCAAAGAGCCATAGCCCACTGGGGAACCTGCCCTTCATAGTCCCAATTCTATCCAAAGGCTGTTTTTGTTGTTATTGTTGCTGTTCCTTCTGTAGCTCAGTTTCCAGAGACATCAATATTCATGCCAAGGGGTCTAAACCTTTTGAAGTTTTATGAAATGAGGTCCAGAATCATCTTTCAGTTCACTCGCAGGTCACAATTCCTACACCCCTCCCACCCTTTCTCCAGTGTCCTGAGACTAAAGGAAACCATATTTGCGAGGTCAGCCTTCAAACCAGCTCAGTCAAACCAAGTCAAGTCAGTTACTTTCAGGAGCAGTTGCTACCCAGCAAACCCTTCCACTGGCCAAAAGTAAGGTGATGGAGAAATGAGCAGGGAGATGTGAACATCTGGGGATACAGTATGCTATAGAGGGTGAAAGAGTCTCAAAAAAAATTTTTAAGTTCAAGGCCAGCCTAATTCAAAAAGGGGCAGTCTATGTTATTGTTAGGGTTAATTATCGACTTGACAAAATCTAGAATTACCCGAGAAAGACCCATAACCTTGCAGGTGAGGAGTTATCTTGACTAACTGAAGGGAGAAGACTCCCCACCATGGGCGGCACCATTCCCTGCTTGGGATCCTGGAGTGTAGTACAGTGGGCTAGCAAGCTGAGCACTAGCATGTACTCGATGCTCTATATTCCTGGTTACAGACACATTATGACCACCTCTCTCTAACTCCGGCCACTGTAATGCTCTTGCTATGGTAGACTGTAACTTGGAAGTACCCTCTCTAATTCCTGCCACTATACTACCATCCGTGCTGGCATGGTATCTTGGAAGTATGGGCCAAAAGAAGTATGGGCCAAAATAAACCCGTTCCTGCTTAAGTTGTTCATGTCACAATGTTTAATCACAGCAACGGGGGAAAAAACTAAGACACTGTGTGTCAAAACACCAAGCCCTGGGGGTGTGGCTCAGTGGCAGAATGCTTGTCTAGCCTGTGCAAGACTGGCTTCTATGCCATGATCCATCTCACCCAGGACTTAGTGGAAAGGCATAGGGATATAATAGAGAGAACATATGACCTTCTGAGGGACAGGAAGGTTAATTTGTCAGGTACAACTAAATTTGTCTGTCTGTAGATCTAGCTATTCTGTATAGAATAGAGCCACACTGTGAACAGTGTCTTGATTCATAACATTGGTTCCCATAAAGCAGTTGATATGTCATAGGTGGCTGTGGCTCACAGAGCATTGATTACACTGTGTGGACCCTTAAACTCTAATAGGTGGTTAGAACCTGGTCTGGCAAAGTCAACTTCCTTGCCACTGTCCTGAAACCAAAGAAAACTAAGGAGATATTAGCAAGCTCAGAAACTGTAGACTAGAGTTTTCAGAGCCTGAGATGACCCAGGTAGAGGCTTCTACAGTAGTGAAGCCTACTAGAGTAGAAGGAAGTTCTCAGAATAGAGGAAATGCAGGGCTGAGGGAAGCAGTCAGTCCAAGGGGAGGTCTCTCAATGCATTGGGTGGGGGCGGGGTTGGCAGTGGCAAACACTATAGGATGGGAAGTGGGGCCAACTCAGAGTCCTGCATAGCAGTGGAGAAGTAAACACAGCTGGGAAGGAAGGGAGATGCTTTCTGAATCCTCCAGGGATATGCCTGAGAGAGCAATGAGGGAAGTATCTAAGCAGGGAGAAAAGGACAGGGTAAGAAAACTGCCCAGAGACTTTCCTGCTACGGGAGCCAGCATGGTGGTTCATATCTGTAATTCCAACACAAAAGGGCTGGGCAGGAGGTGCTCTGGGAGTATGAAGGCAGCCTGTGTTACATAGTAACTTTTAGGCCAGCCTGGGTTACAGAATGAGACCATGTCTCAAAAACAAAACCAACCAACCAACCAACCAACAATCAAACAAAAACAAAAAGTAGTATTACAAATCCTGGGTGTGAGGACAAGAAGTTTATTAATTAGAGTTCCTAAGCATTACTAATAATCAATTATCACTTTCTTCCACCCACATGACTTAGGAATCAGTTCGTCCTCTGAAATTCTCACTTCTCCATTCCCAAAACCTTCTAATGGCAATCCATCCTGGTTTGAACCATCGCATCCCTTCTTATGTTGGTCTGAAAACACATACCGACCTGCACAGCAGATCTTAAAGAGTTCTCCAGTTATTCGAATGGAAAAACAACAGAACAAATACACCACAACATAGCTCAGTCATGTTATGTGTTTTTCCCTTCCTTTGTACTCACTGTATTTGGTTTTGGTGTGAACCGAACAGTTCTCTGGGCAGTTTTCAGAAATCAACACAGGACTAAATAAATTTGGACAGCATTCCAGCTTGGCACAAACTCGCCGGCAGAAATTTGATACTTGGTCAGATGTCCGTACGATCTTAACCACGGCCCTATACGTTTTGCCTCTGTACCTAGAAAATAAAGGATGGAGAAGAAATGGTGATTCCATTTCCAGACTTTGTTCAGCTGGAAGGCATGACTAATCTTTTGGTGTTATGACAGACACGGATATTGTCACCTCCAAAGCTCACACATGAGAACTGCACATGGAGTTATTAACAAAAGTTCCTATTATTTTTTAATAGCTATACTTCCAGAGGACTGGGATTAGGTTCCAAGCAGCCCACAAGACAGCTGCCAGCTATCTGTAATTACTGTTCTAGAGGATCCCATCTTCTCTTCTGGACTCTGAGGGCATTGAGGGCACATGGAGCGCAAAAATACATATAAGCAAAATACCCATATTCAAAAAATAGAAATAAATACATGTTAAAAGCATGAAGTTTCAAGTTAAGTTTGTGATTTTGTGTTGGGCCTCATCATAACTATCCTAGAATGCACACAGACCACCGGCTAATGGTTAGAGACACTGCATTATTAAGGGATGAATCTGAGTTGTCCCCTAAAGGTGTTAGATGTATGGCAGCCAACCTTGGGGCTTTGGGGGAATGACTGGATCACAAGTTGTCTCTTAATCAACAGAATGATTTCTCCATGGATTCTTAAATTGATGGCATTACTGACAGAAGGTGGACACTTCAGGAGAGGGGCCTAATTGCAGAAAATGAGTCAAGGGCATCTCTTGTCCCTTGTCCCTCTTGATGGCTCTGCTTCACACAGTTTCCATGAGGTGTGCAGCTCTGTTCTACCGTCCACTCCCACCACGATACTCTGCCATGAAACCCCTGAAGCTCTGAGCCCAAACCAGTGCTTCCCCACTTGTTTTTCTCAGCTCGGGCATTTCGTTCACCACAGCGACAGCACCAGCAAAAACAGACCAGCACAAGTGCATTCCCAAATTGACATCTCTATATTCTAATAACATAGTATAGTGTACTGTGTGTGGCTTCTGTTTTCTTTTTCTACTTCCTTATAATCTCCCTGGATGTTTGAGAATTACCCTCCAGTGGGCACAAAGAGTGGAGTATTAAATCTCCTGTAGTAAGACTTCTACGTAGCAGGTTTTCACCATGTTAAAATGGAGCCTCGTAGCTATAAGCTTAGTGTGTCATAGTAAAGCATAGGACATATCAAATGGTCATGGTCCTCAGAATGAAGCTAATGAGATCGAATAAGTGTTCTTTATTATTTTTAAAAGTATCAGTGTATACTGGATCATGAATGTGCTCTGAAAAACCTTGCAAAGCCAGATCTTTGCATCTTAATCAGGACAACACTGCACATTGTTGAAATGAGGGGCAATTCTCTATTATTCATAAATGGCATCTGTGCAGCATGGTGACAGGCAAGCAAGGTCACAATCAAGAGGAGGGAAGCACAAAAGAAAGTCAAAACAGGCCAAACCCTGTCGTGCAGCCATGTGAAATCAGTTACCACCTGGAAATCCTGGAACTGGATGCTAGCACTAGCAGCTTTAGTACCCACAGAACCCAAACTGGCCACAAGAAAGCTCCTACAGCAACAGAGACAGGCTTCGGTAGGCTAGAAGTATCAAAGGATCCATACAAAATAGCAAAGCCCTTCACCATACCCTGGCCATTAATTTAGGGTAATAATTTCTGTCTCTCTTTAGGCTGAGAGACTGACAGGTAGCTCCATAAATAAAACTGCCTCTGGAGAAGTCATCTACTCTGCTGTCCACCATGGGTGTAGTTTGCTAGCCACAAATAAGGGTAGCTAATCCTTTTCTGGATGCGTGTACAATCAATAGTTCACCGAGGACCCAAATCTCAGTTAGAAGAGGTCAAAGCGCCCAGAGGACAAGCTCAAAGAATAAGGAGACCATCATGTTCAAAATTGGTAGGCAAAACATTGTTTTAAAACCCTTGATCCAGGGCTAGACAGATGGCTCAGCCATTAGGGGTGAGTTCTGTTCTCATAGGGGACACAGTTCAATTCCCAGTGCCATCAGGAAACTCACACCCTTATAACTCTAGTTCCCTAGGAATGGGCACCTCAGTCTGTGTGGGCACCTGCACTCATGTACACACATTACCACCTTTCCCACCACATACACACATATTAAAGATGATAAAATCAATCTTTAAAAACCTTGATCTCAATCCCAAAAAAAAAATGTGTTGAAAAAAAAAAAAAAGAGAGAGAAAGAAAAGTACTAAATAGATTCCATCTTGATTTTTAAAAATTAATGTCCTTCTGGAGTCTATAGTGTGTTTTCCCTAATAAGTCATTTTTCAAAGTTTTGACAGCCAAAAAAATTAAGCTCTAACTATAAAAAGTACTTTGTATTTATTCGCTGGCCTTTCATGCCCTAGGACCTATACCCTCCTTGGTCTTCAATTCTTCTGATGTTTGAGGTGGCCTTTATATGGTAAGAACTCAAATCAATGCTTTGTAGACAAAATGATGCTTTAAATTTAATAGCTTTGCATCAATGTTGATTTTTATCCCTAGAACAGCCATGAACCCTCTATAGAGAGACCGTTCTCTCTGTGCCCGGGGATGGCTGCTGGGATGCACTTTGCAGGGAGAAGGTCTCGCTTTCTACTGTTGTTGCATTTCATGACAAGAATAGCCCCACTCTGAGAACACGGTATATCCCCAGGTTTTCAGGAAACAGAGGATGTAATTTTTTTGCAGGTACATTTTTCCCTTGTAAGTCTTTTCTTTTCCCTGTTTGTGGCCCTACAGCTCTGCTTGAAAGACCTTGATATCAAGAATCTTAAAGTGTCTTTGAAATCAGAAATGAAATAACATGACACACAAAAAGCAGGAGAAATATGAAATCCAGGTCAGATGCCAAACTGTGTAAGGGGAACTCAAAGACAAAGCATGTACGTGTCGAAAACCCACAGTGACAGAGTGCATCAAGACACACGGAGAGAACAGGGCTGCTTGCTGTGGCAAAGGGGAAATCATTTATTTCCCTTCCCACTTCAGGTGGATTCAGTGGAGACACGAGACTTTTCTTTTGTCTTATTAACTTTTAAAGTTAGCATACAAAGTAATGTACTTCATTATGACAACCACATACATAGGTCAATGTATCATCTTTTGACAAAGCAAGAGCTTTACTAAACTCTCCCATAATTAGGAAAGGCCCACCTAAATGTACAGAAATGAGAATTGAGTCTCAGTCAAATAATGATGGCTTCCTTTCAGATGTCTGTCTAGATTCCACAGCGGTGGAGGGACTGAGCAAGGTGTAGTGACTGTCCCTCCACAGTCTGGCTGTCCCACCTCTGGGGGCAGGGTACTGCAGGCACACAGAACCAGCCATGGCTCCTTTTAGGGTCTGCCTCAACTTCCCAAAGCTGCCTTGTTTTGATTTTTTCCAGGACAGCTCCCATCTAGCTATTGACTGTGGAGGAAGCAAAAAAGGCTTGGTGACTGGGCCCAGGACGATCAAGATGGCCTCTTCAATCCCAGAGATATTCATGAGCCACCACTGACAGGTATCCCTGAAGGCCATCTGCCTAATCTTGCACCTGCCCTTCCGACCAAAGGTGCTGGTCTCTTTAATATTGTCTACCCAGGAGGCACTAGTCCCTGGACAGGTAAGACTGCAGCAGGGTAGTGGGAAGGAGGCCATCTGCATGTGAGACTAACAATATGATATGCAGAGGGAGGGAGGGTACTGAAGTGATGCTGGCATCTGATCAAATAAAGTAGTACTGCAGTTGCAACTGCAGTTGTGATGGCGGATAGTCATTGTCAAGTCATTTGAACTGGATTCAAATAACTAGAAGACATGGCCCTGGGTGTGTCTGTGGGGATGTTTCCAGAGAGGCTAAAGAAAGAAGGCCCACAGTGAATGCAGATGGTACCATCCTGTGGGATCTGGTCCTAAACTGAACAAAAAGGGGGAAGGAGGGAAGGCAGCTGAGGCCAGCACTCATTTCTCTGCTTGCCCACAGTAGAACCAAAGTGACCAGCTAGAGCACGTTTTCCACCATGCTGGACTCTGCCCTCCAGTTGTGAGCCAAAGCAAGTCCTTCCTGTCCAAAGTTGCTTCTTACTGTGTGTTTACAGCAGGTTTCCTGCTGTCAGAGGCAGGGGCTGCAAATGGTACTAAAAGGCCAGGGTGATGCTGGCATGGCGGGCTAGGACAGGATCTGGATTTATTGCCACACCTGGCATGGAGGCGCTGTCTTCAGAAAAGCCACAGGCACCTCTAGCTGGCATCAGGGAACTCGGGCAAGAAGGCTGACTCTTCTGGGCCAACACAAAGCAAATTCTAGAGTCTAGAAGGAAAGCAAGAGCCTAGCACACTATACAGCCAAATCACAGAAAACCACTTCTGCAGTCTTATCGATTTGAAACCCCAGTTCCCTGATGCAACACACACTGTGGTGCACCCACACATACAGTCACACACACACACACACACACACACACACAGAGAGAGAGAGAGAGAGAGAGAGAGAGAGAGAGAGAGAGAGAGAGAGAGAGAGAGGAAGAGAGAGTGAGAGAGAGAGAGAGAGAGAGCTGTGGTTAAAACCCATGATCCCAAGCTCATTAAGCAAGTGTCTCTCTATGCTATATTGCTGACTCATTTACAACTAACACCCCACTCACACCCCCAGCGGAGCAAGCTCATCAATCACTGGTGTATTTCCACGAATGCAAACTGTGTTCCTCTGATTCAGGTAAACAAAAACTAACAAATGAGAGCAAAAACTTTCTCAGGGATCAGACTCTCTACTTGGGAACCCTTTTTCACAAATTCCAGGATGGTGCATATTACATCCTCCTGCTCATTAACATAGAAGCCTGTAGAATAGCAACAGAGCGAGAGGAGGGATAAAGTAAGCACCCGAATGGCAGCCACTGGTACAGGAGAGATGAGAACTCCACAGCTAATACAACTCACATGAAAACAAGGTCTGACTTAGCCTTGCTGCCTCTCTCTGCCCACAAGACAATGAAGCAGAACAAAGCTGCAGCAGGAACCTGGAAAAGAATCTTCTACCTGGGTTCCCCAACGCAGGCTCAAAGCCGTTCAAAGCAGAGGTAAGACAGAAAGAATCTGTGTGATATAATGAAAGCGTTTCAATTGTTTTAGATTTCCCCTAAAGGAGAGAGTAAAATTTCCCCTCATCCTAAAATTCAGAATGACGCAGGTAGCTCGGAATACTAACATTTATCAGAAGGAAGTTTTTCCATTACAAACAGCTGCAACAAACGATACCAGAACTCTTTCCCTTTGTCAGCACAGGCGGACCAGTTTTCAGACACGTGCTGGGAAACAATGACAAGGCACACGTCTTACGGTTACCCAAAGCCTGCATCCCTTTCCTTGGTAGTGTGAAAGGTATCACTGATGAAAAGGTGGGGGAAATATCAATACACTACTGTATGTGATGATCATGCTGGGTTTTATTTCATTTACAGGTCAAATCTTCTGAAAGGCTCATTTATCTTGTCAGGAAACAACACCTATTTACTTTTTCAGGAAAATACCATCCCCCAATACAAGGAGGAGGTGGTGGAAGAGGAGGACCTGGAGGGAGAGGGCTAAGAGGAAGAGCACTAGAGGAGGAGTTTCAGTAGGAAGAGGACCAGAAGGATGAGGAGATGAAGTGGAATGGCAACTAGTTGGGAAGAAGAAACAGGATCTGTGGAGTGGGCAGGAGATAAACAAGGGTAATGGAGGAGAATGCCCTATTACATGAAGGAAAATGTCCTAACAAAACTAGTTATTATATATAATTAATGCATGTTAAAAAACATTTTAAAAAGCAAAAACAAAACAGTGAGCCACCACAGAGGCCAAGTGACATCAAACATTTCCCTGCAGGCTATACTGGGCCCTCAACTCCCGAAGACACTGTAACATTATAGTTCAGGCAATAAAGACAATTACAATCTCAAATGTCAGGTCTAACCTCTGCTAAGTAATTCATTCACAATAAAGACCACTCCTGCCTTTCAGTACAGAGGAAGAAGTTGCCTCACTCTCCAGTCTCCTCCCATTTGCATAGGGAAAAGCAGAGCCAGGTTGTCAGGCTCTAGAAAGTTGTCATTTGCCATGAGAAAGAAAGAGGTGACACAACATGCAGAACAGTCACTAGCAGGCTCCTGCTGCCTGTAAAGCTGTCATCATTAGCAGCTGCTTAGAGGGGTTGCTATGATCAGGCCAGGAGGAACCCCGTGCAGACAGGCATTTCCTCCTGAGAAGATGCTGTGCAAGGTTTTGTGGAGGACCACCCTGCCATCCTTGATAGGAGAGGTAATATGTTGCCTCTGTAATTGAGCAGGATGGAAAGCAAGGTGTCTGTTTCAATTCTATCAGGCTGAATTTAATAAAAGCTCCCATTGACTCAGTAACATGGAAATAAGTGCAAACACTCACAAAATGAATGCTTCCTGTCATGGAATAAGTTTCTGGCTGATTTAGGGAGAGCAGTGCTTTTAATGAGAGTTGAGAAGTTTGTGTTCTGGTTATTTCCATAACTGTTAGGTGCCTCTATGTTATAGTGAGTGGTACAGAAAAAAATCAAAAGCGGTAAGTTAGGATTTCTCTGTGTAAACACTTGCTGGAGTCTTCTGGCATCAGTCTAATAGAACTCTTGGGGAAAAATGCTGTTATGGCAGAAAACTCTCCCTTTATGAAACCTGGAATATGGAATATTGAAAGGGGAAAAAAACCTGCTCTGTTTCTTCTGTGCTATGGGAGAGGCAACTGTAAGAGTTTCTTGGAGTGATGACACGTAATTTTGTCTGACATTGGCTTTCTGCTTTGTAAAATTAAACCCTCTCCATACTGTCCTTCATTCCCTTCCCCCCTTGTGATTGGGCAGGGCACTGTTAAGAGTATAAATAGCCTTTATGGAATTGAAGATGACAGGGCGATGCTGGGTAGGTAGCACCAGCCACATACATGGTACCAGGAAAGGTTATTAACAGAAGAAATCATACTGGCCATACAAATTATACATGAGGCCCTGGCTTCCACCCAATGATTAAACTGGATGTGTTGGTGCATAGCTGTAATGCCAGCACTTGGGAGGTATGAGCAGGAGAGGAGGATCCGAAGTCTAAGGTCATCCTTGGCTATCTGTATGGCAATATGGAAACCCATCAAAGACTAATAACAGGCCTCTTAGACACTAAGTAACATTCATCATGAAGCTCTCCCAAGAATGGGACTTTTTCCTATGGTCTCCTCCAAAACCAAGAACAAGTGTGTCAGTGTTCCTGCTCTCCTTTTCAGAGATGGAGAAATGAAAGTAAGCCAGGTGTGTTGGCACATGCCTGCAACCCCAACTACTCAAGAAGCTATGGCAGGAGATCTCCATCTCAAGGTTTCCCAAGAAACACAGCATGTATGGCTAGTCTGGGTAACTGAGTGAGACTGGTAACAAACTAAAATTTTCAAAAGCTGGTTTGACTAACAGAGGCCCTGAATTTAAAAATCTCTTACACACACACACACACACACACACACACACACACACACACGAAATAAAGAGAAAGATTTTACATGAAGCAAATCTTGCCATCTTCCCAATTTCCAAATAAAAGAAGAAAGCCAGCCAATATTTGAACCCAGAGCTCATTGCCATTTTACATAACACAAGTCAAAGAGATGTATCAGTGTCTTCAATTTCTAACTTGTTTCCATTCTAAAGCAGATAACTTTTTAAGTGGTACTAACAGGTCATAACAGCAAATATTGAGGACTATTAACAAACATCCTGTAATGATGACAAAGGACATCTCTGCTGTCTATCTTTTTCTCTTCTCTAAGTCATCTATTGCCTTATAAACACAGTTTGTTTGTTTGTTTGTTTCCTGAATGTTTAAATGAGAAGATGACTCAATCAGTAAAATGCTTGCCTTGCAAACACAAGGATCTGAGTTCAAGCCTAAAACCCATTTAAAGAGGCCAGATGAGGTGACATATGCTTGTAATCCTCAAGCTGGAGAATGCAGAAACAGGAAGATATCTGGGGCTTGTTGTTTATCCAGTCTCACCTACGTGGCAAACTCTAGGAAAATGAGAGACTCTGTCTCAAAAAACCACTGGAATGTGGTAAGAGAGTGTTCTTTGGCCTTCATACATATTTGCATAACACACACACATACACCTGCACATACACATTGCACACATATACATAAAATCACATGTACAAAATGTTACTTAAGCAAATCTGCATTTCATATTTGCAACCTTAATGCTTTTGGCAGCTCAACATAGCAGAAATATCTCTGTTACAGTTTAGATGTGAAATGTCCCTTTAAGTCCCTTTTATTAAATATCTGGTCCTTAGCTGACAGTTTTGTTTTAGGAGCTGGCAGAGACTTTAGAAGGTAGTACCAAGATGGTACAAATAGGTCACTGGGGAAGTGTCTTGGAAGATTAAACCTAATCACCTCATCCCTCTTCTGTGGTGGCTTCCTGTCCACTGTGTTGTGAATAACCTCAACCACACTGTCTCATTGACACAATGTTCTGTCTCAACAAAGATGCAGAAATAGAGCCATCTGAGCATGGGCTAAAACTCCTTGAGGCCATGTGTAACGAGTACGGGTTTTTCCGCCTGCCACCGCCCTGTCTTGTCCTGCCGCAGCACCAGCACCAATTAACACACAGAGACTCTGTATTTGATACAATGCTGTTGGCCCTGTTACTTGTTTCTTATCGGCTAGCTCTGCCTTAATTATTAACCCATTTCTGCTGATCTATGTATTTCTCTTACCGGGGAGCTGGTGGCATACTGCTTTCTTCAGACTCTCCATCTTGACTCCTCCTTACTACTTCCTATTTCCTCCTTGTCTCCTAGTCCCTCCTATCTTCCTTTCCTATTGGCCAACAGTGCTTTATTATTAACCAGTATGAGAAACATATATACATAATGGCATCTCCCATCAGCCATGGGGAAAACTAAATCTTGACCCCATAAGCTGCTTTCATTAGATATTTCGTCATAAAAACTAATCCAGACAGTAAGTCCACATGTACAACATGGAGCTGTGACACAGCAGATCTGCAGTTTGTTTTTATTCATCTTGGCAATATCCACTCAAGGAACGAGAAGTTTCCAAACTTCAGGGAAAACATTACAAATCCTCTGTATCCCAGAATTAAGAATACTTACTTTGCCTTGAGTGTCTCCTCCTGAAAATTCCAGTGTGGATCTTCCACCAGTTGCAACTCTCTCAATACCCTCCCAGGCTTGTAGGCTGCATTGATTATCATGCTAAGAACCTGTTGGGAGGAAGATAACAAATCAACCACAATTGCATCCATTCCTGTTGAGTTTGACAAACATGTGTTGAAAACCAGGCTGTTGACAAGAGGCTTTTGCCTTACATCTCATTAAGTGAAGGGCTCTGATCAAGTCTAATAAAACACCCTGAGGCAACATAGAACTAACTCACCAAGCAGAAAACATAAAACCTAGCCACCCTGACTTGGAAATTGGAAAGTGCTCACTGGTGGGAGTGCCTGATGCTCAAGAACTCTTCAGTTCGTTATTCTCCAACAGGATGGTTCTTCACTGGGCTTCTGAGTTCTTCACTCTGTTTTTAAAGACCCATGTTGGGGTCTGGAAAGATGGCTCAGTGGTTCAGAGCAGGCACTGCTCTTGCAAAGGACCTGTATTTGGTTCCCAGAACCCATGTCTAGCAACTCACGACTGCCTGAATTTCCACTCTAAGAGATCCAGTACCCTTTTGTAGCCTCACAAACATTCATGTTCATAGCCCCTAAAATGCAACTAATTCAATATAAACATTAATTTTGTACTTTTTAATGTAACCAATGAAGAAAAAAATGTTTTGGCTAACACTGGGGTGTAAGAAGTTCCTGAAAGCTGGTAATATCTCAACTTATGGACATTTAATTCGATAGTGTTCTTGGGTATGTGTTTTGATCAGTAGCCTGGAGCATTTAACATCATCCAGTATCATATGTGTTCAAATTACACACTCATTTCCAAGTCTGAAGTCTAAGAATATAATTACGTGGCAGTTACCTACAGCAAAGTGCCCAGCATGCCTAGATGCTTCTACGCTAAGAGTCAAGGGGGCAGGTTATAGAGAAGAGAGGCGTTCCTAGCAATTCTCAGTGTTCCTATTTACCAAAACCATCCAAGAACTTAGACCTCTGGGCACTGGCCTCTCACTAAGCAAGTCATGATTTACTCAGTGTGTGTGTGTGTGTGTGTGTGTGTGTGTGTGTGTGTGTGTGCGCGCGCGCGTGTGCACATGTGTGTTTTGGAGACAGCATCTCACGTAGCCAAAGCTGACGTCTAACTTTGATCATCCTTCTTTTGCCTCCCTAGTGCCAGAACTCTAGGACTTAGTCACAATGCCTGCATGATTAACTCTTGGCATTCACAAGCTCTGCCATACTCCAAGCTCCTGATACCCACATACATTCAACAGTATACAGACGTAAACAGGATGTCAGGTATTAAATTCCACAAAGTGGCCATCTGTGGTGGCTCCATGGGATATTAGGAATACAGACAGGTAGGAAAATTACATGGTACTACTTTTTCTCAAGTTTGCCCAAGTCCAAAAAAGGTATGAATAGTCACATCAGGATGAAGGTACATACTGCATGTGTGGTGGCAAAATACAATAGAGAGTGAGAAAAATAGTTCCAAGATGGGAGACAAGCACTACATCAGGGTATAAATCAGTCAATATAAAGGAGACAGAAGAATATTCAGGAAAATATTGGCTGGGGTGGATACACCCTGATAACCTCTGAGAAGAAAGAATCTTTCAGAGTAAGGATATGGCTATATCAGCAAAGTGCTTGATATATGTATGTATGTATGTATGTATGTATGTATGTATGTATGCATGCATGCATGCATGCATGTTAGGTGTGGTGGCAGGCACCTGTAATCCTACAACAGGGAAGGCAAAGACAGGCAGATCCCTGGAGCTTGCTTGCCTACCAGTCTAGTCAAATTGATGAGTTCTAGGTTCCATTTCTGGCCATCACTGTACTCACACACACACAAAATCTTTCCATACATGTATATAAACATGACCATTTACATCCCCCCCCAAAATAGAGACAAATATATTATATAGTTAGTATGCAACCCCCTTTACTCTAGGTGGCATTGAGTTTTGTTCCAATGGCTCTAACTGTCCCCAACAAGAGGCACACTTGAACCTAGGGCTAAAATGAAACAAGAAGACAATGCAGACTGTTGTGGTACATTTTGTTTTCTGCATTAAAACAATCATCTGATTTTTCCATTTGCCATCAGTTTAATTTTAAAACTGAGTTTAAAAATAAATCTAATTAGAGCTGGCCGCAGTAGTATGTGAAGCATTTATCATCAGGCAATAACATTTCGGTTGGTTCTTTTCATTTTGACTAGCGGAGAAAACCCCAGAGCTATGCTGTCATTTGCTGCATAACAGAACACATTTTGTGATTGTGAATAGAACCAGAACATGCCTTCCAGAGTTCAGTTCAGCCTGGAAACAAGCAGCATTTAAATTTGTAAAAGCACCTGATACTGATTTTTTTTTTCTCATGGCGTTTCCCAATATTCATCCTCAAATTCAACAAGGATCTCTAAAGACATTAGAGTACAGATAGACACATGTGTCCATGATTGCCGAAGAAAATACAGCTGCCTCATAAAAAAGAACTACATGGAGGCTTAGTGGTTAAAGAACTGGCCAGACAGTGTGAAGACCTGAATTTGGTTCCCAGAACCCGCATAAATGCTAGCTAGGTATGGCAGCCCACCTGTGATCCCAGCCTCATAAGATAGAAACAGCAGCACCCAGAGCAAGCTGGCTAGCCGGACTAACCATAAAATATGGGTTTGATTGAGAGGTGCTGTCTCCACGAATAAGAATAGGACATGATATCTCAGGCCTCCAAATGCATTCACACCCCTCCACGTGCATAGCAGCACATATGCAAAGATGCATATACACATATGCACAGTACACACAAACATGAAAATGGGAGAATGAGAACTAAGTAGATAGATATTAACACTAGATAGAGTTAAAGCAAATGACTTTGCCTCACCAACTATCAGAATACAACTCAGTATGTTCTCCATAAAAGATTAGAAATACCATGAAGCCCACCCTCAGCTAAGGAAACTGTTAACTAAGACACATCTGAGCAATTCCAATTGAAAATCCACACAGCAAAGCAATGGTTCACTGCATCTCTTGGAGCTTGGAATGTTGAGAACACACGCTCATAAGCAAATTCCTCTCTGATGGGTTACAGGAGAAAAGCAATGACCTCTAGTTGGCTATGTCTGGGATCAAATCTCAGTTAGATCCCCATGAAGCTATAGGCCTTTGGGCAAGATGACTTTCTCCATGTGTATGTGGAGCACTTGTATTTACCTGGTCATTTTCCCTAAGGCTGCTACCACATGGAGCACAGGCTCTGTGACCCTTCAGGGACAGGCTTCTGATATGGTTAGTCCCCTGCTTATGTGGTTCCTGTCACAGTAGCTGGGGACTGGAGAAAACCCTCTTAAGGGCTGTTCACTTCTCTTGCAATGAGTAGGATCCGTAAGATCACTAAAGGCTCTTGTGGTAAAGGCTTGGCCCCCAATGCCAGGCAGTGCTGACAGGTAGGAGAATCTTTAGGTCAATAGGAACATGTCCTAGAATGGGATGAAAGAATCCTAGCCCTGTCTTCTTTCTCTTTAATATTTCAACGCATGGAGGTGAAAAGCTTTTCTGCACCATGTGCTCCCTGCCATGATGGACTATTTCAATTAAGATCCTAAAGCAACTGGACCAACCGGGTCATGACTGGAACCCCAGCAACTCTACGGCCAAATATTCTTTTTCTTTCAATACGCCAATGGTCTCCGGTGCGCCACAGTAATGAAATACGGCAATATCCACACAGCCCATTCTTTTTCTTTCTCGGGTCTTCCTTCCAAAAGTTCCTTCACAGAAACCTCCTTTAAGCACCCTCACAAAACACCACTTTCCTTTCATGATTCTCAGCCTTCTCAGTGATCACTACACAGTTATCTAAGCACACAGAAGGCGGGGGCACCATGCTATTACATTCTCTGTAGCTAGAGCTATGACTAGCAGGAGCAAGGGTCTGGTAGACTTTTTTATAAAAATTTTGTTCAGTAAATTTCAATATGGAACCACAAGGTAGCTTGATGAAAATTAATGACTTACTCACTCCAAGAATCTGCCTGATACCATATAGTGGGGTGAACAGAGGTCCAGAAAGGAGATATAGCTTTGGTTTTGGATTGTCATTGCTACAAAGTCCTCCTCTATAGTATGGTGAAAAAGTTTTTTTTTTAAAAAAAAAAAGTTATCATGTCTTCTATATGGGAAAACAATAGAGAAAGCCACAAGAGCAAAAGCAGCTTGCACTTTTCTTTAGTTGTGGTGTGCAGACATTATGAGGCATCCCACAAACACCTACACCACGAGCCGTGTGTGTGCATTACCATGGACATGCTCACCCAAGCCTGCTGTATCATTTTTAATGGGATGACAGTCAACATTAACTCCTAGAAGTAGCAGCAAAGGCACAGCAGAACACCTTCATGAGGCATGTGTGCCTCTGCCTTCGATTCTGATGACTGACTTAACTGGGGGGGACAGAAAGAATCCAAGAACTGGAGGAAAGCATAGAGTGTATGCAACACTGGCTTCTGGATGCGATGAAGCCATTGCACTCTTTAACACTTAGCAACTATGGTCACCTGAATAAGCCTGCATAAGTCTGGGAAGAGAATATTCCAATATAGAGTAGAGAGGAATATAAGAGGCCCTGCCGGCCCTTCCCTGAGGATGTATGGGTTAGTTAAGGTTTGCAGGGAGAAGAGCCATTTTCTTCAGGGATGCAACCATGGGTAAGTTGTCCATGCTCCTTTGAACTACCTTTTGCCCTCATTACTATAAATAACTCTAATTTACTGGTCAAAAAATAATAAAGTAGAAGGAACTATTTGAAAAGAGGAAGATATTGTAGAAAGGGGGATGGACTAGCTGGACATATTTGGGGATAAATATGACCAAAATACATTAAATATACATATGAAAAGGTCATAATAAAATCCATTACAATTTAACAGATACTAGAAAAAACTATTATTAATATAAGACCATCCCTGTTATTTAAATGCCAACTTCTTAGTTTTACTGATGAACATGACATAACAGCCATCCCCATTTTCCATCAGTCCCACAAATAGACTGTTATTTGCCTTACACACTAGGAATGGATATATAGATGATAAATAATGAGACAGATGCAAGTATCTGATAGATGATAATGATAGTAATAGATGGTAGACAGATACTATGATAGGTAGATATATAGATATAAATAAGTAGCTATAAATATATAGATATATGGCATAATGATGAAAGATAATAGAGAGCTAGATGATTCATGATGAGGAAGAAGATGGGTGATGAGTGAGATATAATGAACACAGTGGAACTAGATGCTGGCTGGATAAATAGATGGATAGGTAGACAGGTGCTAACAAAGACAATTAAAGACATAGATAACAGATATAAATGGCAAGGGATAGACAAACAGATTGAAAGATATAGAGGTTGGATACTATAAGAGATGTTACACAGGCAGATATTTAGATAAGCAGATAAATAGGCAGGTGGCAGATACAGAGATGGGGGATACACAGTGGAATAGAAACATAATTGAGTACGTGAACTAGGACATAGTGGAACAGACTTATATCTATTTCTTCAATCAGAAATAGGATGCCCATCTTAATGGATCTGATATACATTATCACATTCAGTCTCTTGATCCTACTTAATGCCTATAAGTCTCATTGCTTCTCTGGCATCCTCAACATACTAGGGTAGAAAGTCATACAGCAAGGAAATGATACACTCACAGAGGCTAATCACATCTAAGAAAGTGATTACACGAACAGAGACTCATCATATCCATCCAAGGAAGTGACACAGTCATGGAGGCTCATCACATCCAGAAGTCTCCTACAGGTACTGGCTCTGTGAACCTTTCTCCTAAGAATTAGCTAGGAGTAAGTGCAAAGACAAGACTGTGATATTTTTGAGTTCTAATAGACATTTACATTGTGTTGGGTTTGTGTTGTTTGTTTGTTTTTCTTTATCGCTACAGTCCAAACTGCCAAAGAAGAGAGGCCACACTTCTGCAGAGCTTATGCAATCACAAAGTGACAGAGAGTTGAATGCATCCAAAATGATGTGGAGACCATGGAAGGGTTGCCTGGAGACTCCCCATTTGAAATGACATGCTTCTATCTTTGTTAAACACAGGGGCTTTGTTAAACACAGGGGCAGATAGTTTAAGGCAAGTTTAAGTGACTTCTTAGAGAAAACATAGAGGTTTCCAAACCTCCATGTGCCATCTTGGGAATCTGTCGTAACAGGCTGCAGAGTCTCTTTAAAGGCAAAGGCACAATTCACCACACTGAGTATTTTCAGAGCCATTTCAGAGCCAGCAACACCTGGCTGATCCACTCCCATTTCATCATCAGAAGTTGAGATACTCATCCCAAGGCACACTGCCATGAGTTAGCAGATGAGATGATTCTGCTTCTCCAGTTTCATATCCCTGTTGGATGGCTCTCCCTTTAATATGAGGATGGGCACATACTCTAGCAACACGCTGCATATAAACCAAATGCAACAGGTAGACCAGGTGATTCAAAGGATGGCACAAGATACTAGCAGTCTTAGAATAATACAACATATATCCACGATTTGTCTATCTGCCAGGGTCCTTGGCACACTGGAGAAGGCATCAGGTTGGTATGATTTGAGTTAGAAATGGATGGTCTCAATTGGCAATGTTCTGGCTAAGCATACAAGTTCATGATAAATGCCATCACTAATATCTGTCCCTGATAATTCTACAGCATCCATAAAATGGCCCAGCATATAACCCACCCATAATGGCTCCAGTTTAATTAAACCTGTCTTCTCTCAATACCATCTCTGAAGTTCAGGTAAGTCATGCATGGCTTTCTCGGTCTCTACAAAGCCCACCCAACTTTAACATCCAGAAAACAAGTTAATGAACAATTTAGCCACTGCCTTCTAGGAGTTTCCTTTTCTCTAACACATAGACCCCCCCCAAACACACACATACCTTGCAACTAACCTTTCCAAACACCAACCCTGTGTCTACCTACAGACACTATCCACTTAGAGCAGACCAGACACAGAGAAAACAACTCTCATTTCACATTTCTGAAGACACAAAAGTGTTTAAATTTCCAATGCTGCCAATGGGCCGGAAAAGCAAGGCACTCTGTCTCTGCTTCAATTACCTCGTACTCTTTAAGCAAAATGAAATTTGAAGCCATGCAGAGGTTCTGGAACCAAAGGAATAACATTAGCATAAATATTGCTTTGGTGGAACTTACATTTTTCTTCCACTCACAGAGCAGAAGCGCTTGCTTTTTATTTATTTATTTTTCCTTCCACCTTGCTACACACATTTTTAGCCATCAGCAAAAAACAACTTTTGTCATCAGAAAACTGCTTCTGGCTGGGCTTTTAAATTTGGTGGTTGGCAATCTATCAGAAAATGATAAAGGATAACTTCTTTTGACTTGGAAAAAAATCATTTAGTCAAGTAAGATAGCCAGTCTCTAAAGAGAGAATGAATCCAACCAAGGTCTTGTTCTTGGCTGACATAGCTAGCAGATAATAGAAGAGTGTTGTCTTCACAACCAAAACCTGCCATGTGAATCAGGCTTGCAGGCGCCCTCAAAGAAACTAGATTAGTCTCTGTGTCAGCTTTGGTGCCCATAACCTCTCATACCAGGCGCTAAAACGGGCAAAAAGCCTGTGCCATCTTAGCCACAGTCCAATCACATCAGCCTGCTGTCACTCTGAGAAATCCCCCCCTACCCAGGCTTCACATAAAACTGCTTGGAATACCAAAGAGAGCTGCTCACACTCAACCTCCTCTGAACTCCTTGGTGCTACTCGGCAATGAAGCACCAGACTACCCAGAATCCTCTTGGGTTTTTATTCCTAAATATAACACACCCTTTTGTAGCTATTGGTTAGCCAAAGTCTAACTTTTCCATCCCAACCAGGCCTGACCTGCTCATCAGAATCTTCCCCAAATGCCCACCGTGCTGTAGAGCTGAAACTGCACCGACTCTGCCCAGTCAAATGTCACCTGCCATGTTTTTGCCCCACTCACACCCCCGCTTCTGCTTTCACAGAGCTGTGCTCCCATCTTTCTTTAGGCAATGCCTACATTTATTTAGCTTTGGATCATATTATTTTCCTAAAACTGAATGGGAAACTCAGACAGACAGAAGCCTAATAGGGCTGGGTTTTGATCCAGTGGCTCTGATAGCGATAGCGCCTGGCTCTTAGAAGCTGCCTGGTAAACAATTGGTCAATGAGTAAATGGATTGCATAGCCACAGAACTGTGCTTTAAAAAAATCACAGCAACAGTAAAAAAGTCATACTGGTATCCTTTCTCTTAGAGAGAGAGCTCTTGTGTGTGCGGGAAAAGAGCAGAAAGTGCCTAGATGAGTCCAGAAGCTATTCTGTTATTCCAGTGGATTGTCAGATACCACCTTAGGCTGGACCAGTAAGTTGCAGTAGAAGAGATAGCTCAGTGGTTAAGTACCAGTGATTTTTTTTCTAAATGAGCTGGGTTGTGCCAGGTTCAATTCCCAGCACCCACATGATAACTCCCAGCTCTCTGTAAATCTAGCTCAGACATTCTCATACATGCATGCAAACCACCAATGCACACAAAAAATTAATAAATAAAGTTTGTTTATTCTAGGAGGTAGTGATGCATGTCTTTAATCCTAGTACTCAGGAGGCAGAGGCAGGCGGATCTCTGTGAGTTTGAGGGAATTCTGGTCTAATAATCGAGTTCTAGGATAGTAGAGCTGTTACCCCGAAAAACCCTGTCTCAGAAAAAAAAAAAAAAAAAAAAAAACCAAACAAAGAACCAGAAGGACCTCCAATGTTCATTTACTTCCATGAGGTTAGCCTCTCTTGTAGGTCATCTCCTCTGGAAACCAAACACAATGGAAAGCTCTTATGAGAACTGTTGTGATGCCTTACCTCTTTAAGCACCAGTACACACTTGCCAGGCCCCACTGACTGAGGTAGCTCTGCAATCCTCCCTTTGTTCAGAAATGGGCCTGAGAAACACCGGTGATTGACAAACAGCTGTGGGCAGCAGTACTTCCCATTGACAGTTCCTGCTGGGAGAGAATGGCACAGTGGATGCGGGGGACTTATGGTGCTGTCAAGACCTGCACTACATCCAAAGATCTCATCTTGACTGCTGGAGAATCTGGAGTAGAAATGGACTCTGAATGGTCACTGCTTTTCCAAGAACTAGAGCTGCTGTGATACTAACCAAGCAGCCTGACTTGAGTTTCAAAGTTTGAAAGATGTCCCACCGACATTCACAAAAGTACTGTGTTAGAGTTACTACTGTTCCACATCCAGGCCAACTAGACATTGTCAGTCTTCTCCATGTTGCAAATATGATGGGGAGAAAATGCACCCTACCATGGCTTGAACTCCCATTCTAATGACATACTCAGTGGGACATGTTGGGTCTCCAACTCTGTAGCCCAGACTGGTATGGAACTGACAGCTCTTGTGCTATGGGATCCCAAATGCTGGAATAACAGGTGTGCACCACCACATCTGACTTGACTAACACTTCTTGGTGTTTATAGTTTGTAATCAAGTTTCTCTTTGGGCTAAGAGACCTATGCTCTAATGTACTCACTGAGTTTGTACCCAAAATATGCCACAGAAACAGTGATACTACTTCAGAAATACAACTATTAGTGTGAAGGTAATTTAACAGTTCAGAAAAACCAGTTTTTTAAACTTAAGATCCAGTAGATAGAAAGTAGGAATTTTATGCTGAATGTATGAAAAAGAGTAATTATTGCAGTGGACTATACAACAGTAGCTGATGTAGTTTTCAAACAAACAAACAAAGCACTTAAAATTTTAGAAATGGCTCAGAGGTTAAGAGCACTGGCTGCTCTTCCTGAGGTCTTGAGTTCAATTCCCAGCAACCACACGATGGCTCACAACCATCTATAATGAGCTCTGGTGCCCTCTTCTGGCCTGTAGGCATACATACAGGCAGAATACTGTGTACATAATAAATAAACCTTAAACAATATTAAAAAAAAAAAAAAAAAGAAATTGAAATTGAGTCTTACAGAAGCTAGATAATTAACTTTATAACTGAATTTCCTTATAATTTTTGGTAGTATTATCCAGACCTTTATTTAAATGTTCATCTACTCTATTTATAAAATTGTTCTCTTTACTGCAAAGAGGACATCAGCTAGTGAGAGTATTCATAGTACATAGACCATAATCCTGGAATTCAAAGCAAATTTTATTTGTTCCAGAACACAGAACTCTGAGAGAAGAACCACTTCATGGAGACATATTTAGTCACATTTGGTAGTCCATTTGCAGCTCACAACTGCATGTCACAAAGATTAAACAATGTGTTAGCAAATCTATCCATCACGATCAGCTTCTCACACTCGGGTTTTCATGAATAGATCAAGAATGAGTGGGGTATAAATAAGTCACTGGGGCAAAGATGCAAATGGATAAGCCAGTACTCAGTAGGCTGAGAGTTCAAGGCAAGCCTGGGCTACATGGCAAGACCATGTCTCAAAAGAGTCTAGTGGAACTATGATAAAATGGCAAGAAAGGATTGCCCAGTACTCAGTGTTTCCCTTTTCATCACTATGGTCCATGCCACAGAATATTAACTGGATTTGTAATGACCAAATATCAAACAGATCTTTGTCCTGAAGATTACTGTACCTGTCTACAGATCCTGGCCAAACAGTAGTAAAAGTGAAGTACACCTTTAATCTGATTTAAAAAAAAAACAAAAAACAAAAACAAAACTTTTCAATGGTTATGTTAGTGAGTAGCAGCAGAGGAAAAGAAAATAGGCTCAAAGTTGGGATGCAGTGACTAAAACAATATGCATGTCTCCAGCCACAACTACTAGTGGACAGCACAGAGTCCTCCCTAGGGCCCACTTACCTGCAGTGTCCATGTGAGGAAACAAGCAAAGGTCATGAGGTATTTTCTCAACAGGCACTGTGGATGACAACCTGTAGATATAGAAGATCAACTATTGCAGACCACGGAGGAAAGGAATGTGTTATGAAATATTTTCATTATTTAAAATGGCTACACCAGAAATTCAATATAAAGTCATTATAAGGTAGGCTGCATGTACAAGAGTAGCACCAATAAACTAAATAAGGAGATCTTTTGGAAAATTGGTTTTCAAAGCCATTTGATGACCCTACAATGTCTAGGGTGCAAATGCCCTTGAATGGCCAGTCCTGATCAGTGAGTCTCTTCTGAACTTAGGAAATGTCTCCAATTATATTCTAGATACAACTGCCATATAATTAGTGTCAGACTTATCCACTGTCACTGTCTAATTGAAGACAACCTTCAGGTGACTTTGAAGGTCCTTACTCTGAGTCTATGTGGGTCATGGAAATACTAAAAAGAAGACCCAAGAGAGAGAACTATAAAGCTCTGATAGTTAAAATTTTAATTCTGGCTTGTTCTGTTAGAGTTCAGGTAAAAAGTTCACAAAAGGCACGTATGTGCATGAGCACGTGCTTGTGAGAGTGTGTGTGTGTGTGTGTGTGTGCGCGCGCGCACGCACACGTGCATGTGTGTGGTCTTACAGGAATATAGGAAATCTTGGGCTCATGGGGTCTCACCCCTGATGGCTGCATAGAATATTGACCTAAATGTCTAATAGCACCACCAGGTATCTTGAGATGGGGAGGGGTGCATCCTCTACAGTAGTGGACATCAGACTATGTTTCCCTGAGCCTATAGAACTGGCATCAGCTAGGAATTTACAGAAATCCAGATTCTTAGCCCACACTCCAGCTATCCTGAGTCAGGAATTGTGAGTGTCAGGCCCAGAAATCTGTGTGAGGTGAGAATCATTAATCCATGAGCTGCAAATTAGGACTTAATCAAGAGCCTCATGTTTGTCTAGCAACCTCACGTTACATAAACTGGAGCCAAGTTACAAGTCTGACTCACAGCAGCATTCAGTGAAGATCACACACAAAATATCCTCAAAGCCATTATCCTTATTCAATTAGCGATGCAAATGTTTGTTTCACTTCTTTAATTTGAAGCCTTACTACATAGAAAAGTACTGTTTTCAGTTAACTTTATAGCCATATGCTTTGTTCCTTAAGGAAACACAATCACCTCAGATGGAAGGAACATTTGGATGTATTTTAGATACTTTATAATGCACAAAAGGCTCACCGAAAATTTCAACTTTTCAAACACATCCTGCCCACATGTACAACACTTTACCCTAAAACACCCTTCCCCCAAAACTGCAACATATATCTATACCATAAAGGAAACAACCCACATTTTTTACACAAGGAACCAAATTTAATATTTTTTTAAATCCCTCAAAAGTACTGTTTTTAAATGGGGATGTTAAGATGCAGCCAGCAGTGTAACAGGGGAATTAAGAGTGACACTGAAGTCTTTTGCCTCTAGGCATTCAGGGTCAGCAAAACAGATCGTCCATCTATAAACTACACTTGTCATGTGAGGCCACCAAGAGTCAGTACCATAGTCAGTCATTCCCATCAGTGAGGAATAAAAAGTAAGAAATAACCACGGGGACTGTAGAACTTTGAGGGTGGGCTCTGCATTTTGCACACAATAATTTCACAAGGAATAAGAGCTGTCACCATCGATGCTGAGTTGCCAGTTAGCTAATGCCCCCAAAATCACTCAGACCCCTTCCCCTTACAGCGAAGCATGATGTTTGTGAAGGAAAAAAAAAAACAAAAACACATACTGTTTTTCTGGCTGTACAACTGCAATCTTCCTCTTTTTATCGGCTGTAGAACAGGAAAAGAAAACGAAAATGACATTATTAGTGAGGCTAGTCCTTTTCTAATGGCTTTAGTGGACAAGTGTACCCTATTTTATTTATTTAGAGACAGGGCCTCATGCAGGCTGTAACTGGATATTTAGCTGTCAGCAACCTTGAATGTCTGGTCCTCCAGGACCCACCTCCAAAGTGCAGGGATTACCTAGGTGTGCCTCCACGCTCAGAGTGTACAGGGCTGGGGCTGAGCCCAAGTTTCACTGGATGTGAGGTAGGGAAGCCACATAGGGTCTGCACTCTCTTAACAGAGATGCTTTGCCAGCCCCTCAGAGTCTCTGAATACAACAGGAAATATTTTAAGCCTCTAAATAATGAGGGTGGTTTTTAGGAAAAAGTGTTAATTTTTTTTAATGAAGATGAGTCTTGTGTCTATTCTTAAAACTAAAAAGTTGCTGAGGTCAAGCCATAAATTTACATAGTATCTCCTAGCATAAAAAAGACATGGTTTTATCAAGCATCAAAAATGTGTAAGTATATTTAATCTTATCACTACACTGGCTATTTTATTTTAAAGGGCACTTTTAATAAGGAAGATAAAGAGAACACATATTGTACTGTGTATGAACACACATTAAGATAAATTGTTGCAAACTCGACAGAAATTGTGATAAGACAAAGAATACTGCCAAAATAATACACCTCCAAGTCAACCTCAATGAAAACAAAAGGCTGAATTAGTGGGAGGGGAATAGGCAGCTAGGAAATCAACCAGCACATAGTCATCTGGGGAGGTGAGAAACTCTATGTTACTATTTCTTTGAGGACTTGTTTTATTTTTAATTATGTAAGTGTGTCTGTATCAGATTATGTGTATGTGAGTCCGGCCAAGGTGCCAGATCCCTTGGAGCTGGAGGTAAAGGTGGTTTTGTGCTGCCTGATGTGGGTGCTGAGAACCAAACTCAGGTTCTCTGCCAGAGCAGTATATACTCTTAACCACTGACCTATCCCTCCAGCGCCAATACTTGTATTCATTTCTAAAGCACACATTGTCTGTAAAGGAGGCAAACTTGAACTCTTATCCCACCAAACTCTAACAGTTATTGAACTCTGATTAGCGTTAACAAATGCCACACTTAGCATAGTGGTGCACGCCTTTAATCCCAACACTCAGGAGGCAGAGTCAGGCAGATCTCTGTGAGTTCAAGCCCAGCTTCATCTACAGAGCGAGTTCTAGGATAGTCAAAGCTATATAAATGAGACCCTGTCTTGAAAAAAAAATGCTCATGTTAGAAAATACAGAATTATCTTAATAAAGACTGATTAACAGCAAATGTGTAGCACATAAACCAAGTTATGGTCTACCTTTTCATAAAGGCAATAATCATTTACTAGAAATAAATATTAACAGAACCTGGAGAGACAGTCGCACGCATGTACATATCCACACATAGACACATACATACACATAAATTAAAAACTAACCTGAGCTACACAGTGAGACTCTTTCTCAAAAATTGGGGAAAAAGAAAAAATATATATGTACACACACACACACACACACACACACACACACACACACACACACACACGATGTCTAATCTAAGTTTTCTCAATCAAAACAATGCATTGCATAGTCTCCTTCAATTACCTCCTTACTGTCACCTATAAAATGTGCCCAAATGTCCATTGGCACTTAAAGAATAATTGTGACAATAATAATATAGGCATTCCTTAGAACACCTAGAACCTTTATTTTTCACAGCCTCCTGTACCAAATCACCCATTTATTCACCATGACTATGGACACTATCTGTTCATCGTCTCATTCTACTGCACAACACTTACAGACTGCCTTGTGCGGGGTGGTCAAAGGGTAAAAATTTGCTTCACACCAGCCCACAGGAAAGATATCCATGGAATCCATATCCACAATGACCTCTGGAATTGGAGTCTGAAGACCTGAATGGGGAAGAAACCAAAATAATAGGTACCAAAAAGAAACAGAAGGAAACACACACACACACACATGCAAACATACACACACCTATCCCTAAGATTGAGAAATGCATTCCTGTAAAATGCATTTAAGTATAATACAGAGGGTGTCTTCTTAAGTACAGAGTGTGTAGTCTTAAGATGGTGTACAAATTTTGAATTAACTTAAGGATGAGAATCTGAGATAGTTCAAGTGAAATCGAGTTAGGAAAAAGGATATACAGTCCTCTAAAAAAGCGGGAGGGAAGAAGGATCCTATGAAAAACTGGATCAGAGCCAGATATACTCAAAAAGGGACCAGATGTCCCCTTTCCTAAGAGTAGCTATGAAATTAAAGACATGTGGTATATTTTGTAAGCCACCATGACAGAATTCGTTCCACATCAAGCAAAAAGTAACTGTCAACTAAATAAAAGCAAACATTACAGCCACAAGCAACAGCTACAGGGAAACCACTGTTTAGGAACAGACTAGCGAGAAGGCGATTTCCTGAGAGGATATGTTTGCCTCTAAGCTTTGGCTGGGATGGCTCAATTTTGTATATGTACATGTAAGCGTGTATATTTGTGCCTGTGTGTGTGCGCAGTTGCATGTGTGTACAGGCGTGAGTTCACTTGCACATGGAGTCAAGAGGTCAACCTCCAGTGTCGTTCCTCAGACCTAACGCATCTGCACCTTAGTTTCTGAGACAGCGTCCCTGGCCCTGAGATCTTAAGCAGGTTCATCAGTGAGCCTCAGGGACCCCCGTCTCTGCTTCCTCATGCTGGGATCAAACAAACACACACACACACACACACACACACACACAGAGAGAGAGAGAGAGAGAGAGGGGGGGGGAGGTAGAGGGAGAGAGAATTTTTTTCAAGTAACTCTCCCAGTGTCTTCTTATGGAAATGACTCTCTTCACCCTGAAGTACTCAGGATTCCTGTAGGGTCCAACCAAAAGGGTCTCAAAGATACTTCCCACAGCACAACATCATCTTTCTCTACTTTGGGTTTATAAAATAGTATTGGTTTCTTAGTATTACATTTTCCCACAGGTTAAATTATCCACCAGAAACATCTGTGTTTAGCCACAAAGAAGATTTTCAAGGTTATTCAAAATAGTACTTCAAAAGGATGCATAGAATGAATTTGACCACTTAAAGTCCCTCTGCCCAAATGTTCTATTGGCTCAAGCGTTACACCGTATTAATTCTCTAATTAATAGATACACTTCTGTCTAATGCACACATCAATGTGTTTGTATGGCTGCCTTTACCAGGCTTTAAAGTTCTTTCATGTCCCCTCCCAATCAAGCAAATTCTTATGAGCTAAGAGGTGTGAACCACATTGTTCCCCTTGAGGAACTTACACCCCTGCTTTTCTTTCCCTTTAAATCTTGCCTCTGAAGGCATATTTGAAATAATACAGGGTGGCAAAGTGGCTTGTCCAGGTTGGGAAGCTGGCTTAGGGAGTAAGAGCACCTGCCCTGCAAGCATGACACCTCAGTTTGGTTCCTTGGCATCCGCATCAGAAGATGGGCACAGCTGTGCCTAGCTTTAACTCAAGCACTGCATGGGGGTAGAGAAGTGAATCCTAAGAGCTCACTGGCTGGGTCAGGAAGCCTGGTCAAAATGGAGGGCTCTGGATTTTGTGAAAAATCATGTCTCAAGGAAATATGGGGGAAAGCAGAGGAAGACACTGATGTCTCTCGTTGGCTTCTGTACGAGTACACTCAGGCTGTGAGTAGGATGAATGAAAACAAGTAGATTATGTGCATATGCCACACATACAGGAAGGAGGGAGGGGAGGGAGTTGCACAAACACACACATACACACACATACACACACATACACAGAAAGAGCGAGAACACATGCAATGTTGGTAGTGCCCAGGAAAATTTTTCCTGACCCCCATTTTTAAACCCCATTCTGAATGGTGAGTAGCAATTACTCATTCCTTTCATCAGCCTTATCAATTGCTGTGATGATCACATAAGTGTAGATAACATCTGGCCAGATTCCAGACAACCTTTTAAGGGAAAGCTATTATTTTCAAGCCTGGAGACCCAACAGCTTTACAAAAATGATGCATGTGTTCAGGACTCCTGCTTCCTTGCTCCAACACTGCTGGAATCATATATAAAAACAAATCTAGAGACTTCACCAGAGACTCAAGGCAGTATCTGTCATGTCACATGTAGGCAAGACATGCAGCATGGAATTCTTGAAGAATGAATAAGAATATTAATGAAAAGAGAAGAAAACCCCCTTATAGACAAGACCACACCTGAGCTCTGCCTTTGTGGAAGTGGCATCTCATCAGTATCACTTTCACTTGTTTGTACTTAGCCAGAGGGTCCATCTCAAAACCCATTAGGAAGCAGAGAGCCCCTGAAAGTATTCAGACAATGCAGAGTATACTCAAGTGATAGAACAGTCTGCAGCTATTTAAATACTTAATGTGACGATCTCCAAGATGTATCATGGAGTGAGAAAAGATAAGCTGAACTTGTGAGTGTAAAGGCTGAGGACATGTTTATTTACATGTGCATGAAATAAATCTGAGAGGAAATGTGAAGTACTAATGGTGGTAACTCCCAAGAAAAGAACAAAATGCAGAGGAGTAGGGAGGCCGAGAGCAAGAGTGAGAGTCTAACCCAAGATACTTTGTGGGTTGTGTACATTTGTGAATGTCGTCTTTTACAAACGCAGCCTCGCAATCTTCTGAATAATGACAACACAGCACAGTCAAGGAAAAAAGAAGGATTTTGTGCATAAATGTTGCCTTCCTATCAAGTGAAAATCAGTAAAATCCAAGTTATCATTTAAGAAAATATAATAATATAATGAAACCACTGTTAAAAGAAGAACTTTGCTAGTCCTAAAGTAAATTTATAAACATATGAATTGGTAGGAATCATGTAGTAGCTTTAAAGGTGATTTCCCATCTCCTATAGCCTTTGACCCCCCCCCCCAAATCGTAGGTCCCAAGACTCTGTTTGCCTGTGTGATTGCTAGAACTTTGTACTGCAGCTCAATCTAGTCAAGGGCACAGGCTATGCCAATAGAGATGATGACCTGCTTTAATCCAGGAACATATGGATGGCACATGGGGGGTGGCTTGGAAGGACACTTTAGTGAGGAACACAATCCTGCCAATGCCAAGGCCCCAAATATAGGTGGTTATGTGACTTCCAGCAAGACACAAGAGAGAGAAAGCACAGGTGAATTAGAGAGTGGAGATGCTATGGGGTACCACAGGCAAGAGGGATGAGAGGGAAGAAAGCTTCAGAGACGATCATGATACAAGTAATGATTTTCATTTACTTCAGTAATAGAATTGGTGCAACATCTTCATCTTACTTAAGTGCCGGGATGGGGAAAAGATAAGAGGTATTTGTGGGGACAACTTTTCTTGGGTTAACATTCTTAGTCAAAGTTAAAGGGCACGGCAAATGTAGATAGGCTTAAAGATGAGATGAAAAGAGAAAACATAAGATGAGGGAAAAACAACCTGAATCAGTAGATGGATGGAGCTGTGACAAAGAAGCCTTTGGTGCAAGTCTGAACACAAACCTAAGTTATTTGAGTTTCTTGGACAATCAATGTATCAATCACTTGATATGTGAGCTGTAACATTGCGTCTCCCATGAAATGTGCAATAAAGTTCTATACACAGATATACAGAGAGACAATCCTGAATCCACACCCCCCAGATGCAAATGATCCAAACTGAAAATTTCAGAGTGCCATTATGACACCTAATAAAGAAAACTGTCCAGTATATAGTTTGGTTAATTTGTACAGTCTATTAAAAATAATTTACAGTTACTTTCAGACTCCTCCCTCCTTTTCTGTCTTCTCACTTTTCTCTCAGATAGGTAGATAGATATGTGATTTCACGTTTCAATTTGGATCCCGTGTACAAGCAAATATTCAAAAATCCTAAAGGCCTACTCTCAAGCATTTTAGATAAGAGACTGACAACTTATACCTCATAATGTATCACCCAAACCAAAAAGGATTCTGAGAAAGTTGGTGACACTAAGAGGCCAAAGAAGGCAACAGAATGATCTGATCCCACTTAAGGACAAAAGAGCCATGAAAACGTGTAAGATGCCAGGCCAAATCTGCTGCACTAGAAAGTGAGCTGGGTAAGCTGCACTCATCTGTGAGGCGACTGACATCACAGCGGTGATGTTGGAGGCATGGAAACGGAAGGTATGGTACTGTATGGTACTGTCTGTGGAGAGTGTCCACAGCTTCAGATAGGATTACCTACAATGGAATAATGAGATGAGAGAAAGCAGAGCAGGGGCCATCACAAGACACTACTCCCTGCCATAATCTGTCTCCCCTCCAGTCAGCGGCTTGTGAGAATTAGAATCTTTTTCCAGTGTGAACTAAAAATATTACATTAATCTCATATGCTTTACTCATTGATTTCTTTTTAACAAAGGACCTTCTAAAGATACTTAAAGACTGATCTGGCTTCTTAAGGAGTCAAATATTAACTAGAAATGATCATTTTAATTACCGAAAAGTGGTCAATCAGCGATGCACTGAAAGGGCTTCAAACTGATTTAATGCATTAAAATAACTAATAAAATTGTTGTAAAGACTTTTTATAAATTTAAAGTGTCAAATAAATGGCCCGTAATCAGGATAATCATTACCCTATAAAGTAATTTAATAGCCACAAAGTGACCACAATGAAGTGCCACAATTTTATTCCCAGGACTGAGGACGGGATGCCATGTGTAGATAAAACTGTAAAATGAAGAGAAATCAGAGCCACCAAGTGTCACTTTAGAAGATAAAAGGACCTCTAAGCTCAAAGTCCAAATTAAAAAAAAAAAAAAAAATTCAGGGAAAAAAACAAAACAAAACAAAACAAGAACGTGGTTTGGAATTTATTATGTGTTGTATGTGTGCATGTGTTTGTGTGTGTGTGTGTGTGTGTAAACACACCTTAGCACACTCCCTAACACATGTATATGCACATATAGATGCCAAAGGACAGTGTTGGGTATCTTACTCAATCACTATCCATCTTACTTTGAGACAGGGTCTAACCACTGAATCTGGAGCTCACCAATGGAGTGAGACTGGCTGGCCAGAGTGGCCCTGGAATGGATCCTCTCACTGCCTTCCCAGTCCTGATATGATGGGGGCACACCACACCAGCTCTTCACATGGGCAGTCAGCATGCAAATTTAGGTTCCCACAATTTCAGAGCAAATCTCTTTGAAGTAAAGAAACCGGTGCACTATTTTGCCTAGTAATGATGTATAATACTCAGTAGTCACTAGGAAATATTCAACCAATTGCTTACAAGCACTTTTTAAAAATATAGCTTAGGTCTAGAAAATGGATGCTCCTTTTTTTGATTTTTTCTTCCTAGTTTTCAGGGGTTTTTTTTTTGTTGTTGTTGTTGTTTTGTTTTTGTTTTGGGGGGTTTTTTGTTTGTTTGTTTTGGGTTTTTTTGTTGTTGTTGTTTTGTTTTTACCCAAAGCACTATTTAAAAAAAATATAGACATGACATGGGCTTTTTATTTGGGGTAGATTTTTTTTCCAGTAAAACCCAAAATTTGTATCTTGAGGAAACAGAACAATAAAAAAAAAAAGGTATGGTCAAAAATGTTAAATATGTATTAAATGATGCTCATCACTCTCTTTCAAGAACCAGGAAGCTGCAGCGTCTAGTGAATTAAGCAACAAAAAATGTCAAGAGTGATGAAAATGAACCCCAGGCAGATATTAATGGCTTCGCTGGTTTCTCCAGCTATAAAAATCAGGACACTCTTACTGCTGTTTGTGTTAGGTAATTAACAGCTGCAAAGTATACTGAAAGGAGAAACTGCTAAATAAATAATGACTGCCACGGAATCTCAAACATAATGTGCTAAATAATAAAGAGGAAACATGGGCTTCTAACGTCACCGTTTCTGTTTGCAGAGTCTCATTAGTGTAGCTCAACACACATAGACAGAAGCTGAGTGAGTGATGAGAAGCCATGGGAGTGATCTTGTGTCTCTAACAGCAACTCATCTGAGTCTACAAGTAGCAACAAAACCAAAGGTGTCCCCTTTGTAACTGTAAAAGTGTCACCATTTTGCCTGTACTTTGTTTTTATTGTTTCCAAGCAGAAGCCATTCACTAGAAATCCACAAAGAAAAACCCATTTCAGAATTCTACTTAGTTCAGATGGATTCTGACACCTAAACTACAGCAATGTTTACATTATTATCTAGAAATTAAAGACACAATGACATCGAAGATGAGTGTGCTTCACATCTTCCAATCAACTATGTTTATGAGACTATGAACTAATCAGAGAATTTGGCATGCAATTTTCAGACTTGCTTCCATGGGAAACAGGGATCACATGCTATTACGGTCAATTCTAGCCCTTTCTTCCACACATCTTTTTCTAATCCTGTAGTGATTTGAATTAGACTGCCCCTCCTAGGGATACTCTCAGCCTAGATACACAGGGGGGGGCCTAGGTCTTGCCCCAAATGATGTGGCAGACTTTGATGATCCCCCATCAGAGGCCTCACCATCCCTGAGAAGTAGATGGGAAGTGGGAAAGGAGTTGGTGGAGGGAATGAGAGGATGGGCTGGATAGGGAACTGGGATTGGTATGTAAAATAAAATGGTTTTTAATTTAAATAAAAAATAATAATAAAAAAATGCCCCTCTGTAGCAGTCTTGCAGTGAACTTGTAACGGTGGCCACACCCGCTTGGGCATGGCCTCAGGCAGAAGCTACAGCCCCTCCTAAGCACTTGGACCCCAGCTCCTGGAATTGTTTGGGAGGGACTAGGAGGTGTGGCCTTGTTGCAGGTATGTCATGAGGAGCAGGCTTTAAGGGTTCCAAAGGCTCTTGCCATCCCTGCTGTTCCCTCATGATTGTAGATCAAGATGTGAACCCTCAGCTGCCCCTGACTCAGCCTCTGCTCCACTACCAAGGACTCCAACCATCTGACCTCACAGGCTCAATAAAATGCTTTCGTTTTATTCGTTGCCTTGTTCATGGTGTTTTATCACAGCAGTAGAAAAGTATCTAAGGCAAATAGTGACATGGACATGTCATAAGATGTAAGCTATGCATATGCCAGAGATCTAGAAATCTTTTGTAACCTTACCTATTCTTATTGTTTGGCATATGCATCAAACATCTGAGTTCCGTCATTACATTATGAAAAAATTGGAAATCCTTGGATATTAAATCTATTTTAATTATTTTCAATTCAAAATGGAACACATGAAAGACACAATGTTATGCCCAAATCTATCTATCCACAAAATACATTATGCTGTGAATTTTCCATATATTCTAAACTAAACTATCTGTAAAGAACTGTTTTGGCATCATTAAAGAAAAAAACAAAACTCAAATGTGTTTGGAGAAAGAGACCATCCTCCAATTAGTATTTTGAGGAAAAATGAAACATCCACAGAAGAAAAAAAATGAAGGGTATTGCCATATTAAAATGCAAATATATCATTTTATTCTCATAATGACCAAGACCTCAAATACCATTTTAGTGACTCATATTAATTTAATTGCAATATTAGCTTTTATAATCATAGATGTAAAAAGACCAGTGTGTTCCAAACATAATTATCTGGCCAGCATCTCATTTCATGAAATTATTAGTTAAGATGAGTGCCGTGGAATGAATTTGTATTTGATTAGTTTCACTTATTTAAGAACACTGAATAATTTAAGATCTGTTTAAACAGAAGGGTAACAAGAGGGACATTTATGAGAGTGCTGAATCTTCCTGTACCCCTCTGGAGAGGAACCCCCAGAACGCCTAAAGAGCAGCTGATTGTACATACCTTCTAGATGGAGCCATAGCAACCTCCCCTTCACACTGACCACAGAGGCCACACACAGCTCTCCTGGATTCCTGGGGTTCACAGCTTCAAGCTTCATGTTTTTTGAGAAGCCCCGATTAAAGGCTGCCTGAAAGAAAAAGAAACAGGCCTGAGCCAGCAGCTCCCAGGGGAGGATAACAGGTGACTATGGAACTGGCCAGTGAAGACAGTAGACACAATTGCATCTTGTTCCTGCTACAGACAGGTTTGTTTTCCCCACTGCTCACCACCAAAGGGCCATGCATTCTTTACTGCATAGGTCAGGAATCAGAACTGTGCTTAACACCCAGTGGGCGCCTGAGATGTTTTGCTAAATCAATGAGGCAATGGACACATTCTTTCTCTCATAATTTGAACTTCAAAATTCTATGAACTTTCTAAAACACATCATTTCTCTGCTCTTCTATATTGCTTGCTAAAATCATACCTAGGGTGTTAAACAAGGCAGATGGAGTATCCATCTGGTAACTTCTTTTAAAGGACATTTAAAGAATGCCCTTTAGCTTATAGCATGGGTGTGTTGGTGACAACTCCCTTAGTTTTCGTTTATTTGAAATTTTATATATGAATGAATAGGGGCTAGAAGATACAGAAGGATGCCTCAGTCAGTAAAGTACTTGTCATGCAAGCAAAAGAACTCAAGTTCAGTCCCTGGAACCCACATTTTAAAAAATGCAGAGGTGGTGGTCTTTACTTGCAATTCCAGCACTGGGGAAGGAGGAAGGAGAAAAACAGATCCCTGGGGTTTGATAGTCAGACAGCCTGGACCCCTTGGTTTCAGGTCAACAAGAGCTTTATGTGGACCACAGCTGAAGAATGACACCAGAGGCTGTCCACAGGCCCGAATAGGCACTCACATACACAAGTACTAGAAACACACACACACAACAATACATACAGTAAAATCCACTGCTTATGGCATCCTGGTTGATCTATAAAGATAATGCTGTTGGACCAATGAATACAACCATATGTGCCCACAACTACACTCATGATGCAGAACATCCCCACCCATCACCGCCTCCTCCAAACACCCTTGCACAGCTCTGGGTACCCAGTCCTTGACCTCAGTTCCTAGTAGCCATCAATCTGGTTTCTGCTTCTGTAATTCCATATATTTATTTTATATTATCCCATAGATAGAATCATATTCTAAGACACTTTTAGAACCTGCCTTCCTTCACTTGGTTGACGGTTGATTTTGAAAGTTGCCACAGCCTACAATGAAAAACTATTCAGATCAGGTTGGCCCAAGAGCATGTGGGGGAAGGGAGAAACTGTCTTGATTGTTTGTTGAGTGGGAAGATACATCCCAAATGTGAGTGGGAGGACTTTGTGGGTTGGGCCATAAACTGGAGAAGAGAGCAACAGGGGGATGAGGGTTGCTTTTCTTTGCTCGGAACTGTACATGTAAAATGACCAGCTTCGTGTCCCTGCCTGACTTCCCTGCTTCCATAGACTATCAGCTGGCACCGTTCTCCCAAGTAGCTTTTGGTCAAGATATTTTATTACAGCAACAGAAATGAAACCAGGACGCTTGGCATAATGCATTTGAGGATCATTCTTGCAAGAATTATACATAGTTTATTCTACTCTATGACTGAAGAGTTAATGTATACACATCACAATTTATCAATCCATTTGCCACTTAAGGGACATTGAACCATTCTCAAAACTCAGTTATTGTAAATGAAGCTGCCACAATCCTGCATGTGCGGTTTTTTGTGTGATCAGAAATACATGAAACAATTTGGGTTTTCTCAAATTCCTAGAAATTGAGACTACAACATCAAGAGTTCATCTGGTTGGGTCCTGCTGAGGTTGCTTCCTGTGACTTACAGATGGCTGTCTGAAGCCTGTGTTCCCCTGTGGTCATCCCTCTATGTGTACTTGGGTCCTGATTTGCTCTTTAGATAAGAACACAGGTCACACAGGATTAGGATTTCATCTATCATAGTCATTTCTTTAGACATCATCACTCTAAACATCATCACATTTTGAGGGGTTCACACTTGACCATATGAATGAAGGGGGGATCCAGGCTCAGCCCTTCACAATAAATGTTCACTTCTTTAGAAACAGAATTGATGGGTTATATAAGAAACAGGTGTTAAACCTTTTATGGTATTTGGTTTGCAAAGTGTTCTCCTCGTGTCCCAGTGGCTGTGACTCCCCAGTAGCTTTGGCATGACTGGTGTGCTAAAATTCAGCCATTCTAACAGATACCTAGTTGTCTTTATTGGGCTCACACTGTGATAAAATACCCTGACCCCCCTTCAAAAAAAAAAGACAATTTAGGAGAAAAAGCATTTGTTTTAACTCAATTCCAGCACATGGTCCATAGTATCTGAGAAGTCAAGGCAGTAGAATTTGAAATAGCTGGTCCTATTATGTCCACAGTTAGAGAAAAGGGAATGGACACATGAATGTTCATTTCTCAGCTTATGTTCTCTGCACAGTCCAGGACCCAAACCCAGGGAATGACACTGTCCACAGTAGGCTGGATCTCCCCACATCAATTAAGGTAACCAAAGACAATCTCCCATAGGCAAACCCGATAAAGAAAACCCATCACTGGGACTATTCCAGGCAATTCTAGATCTTGTCAGCTGGACAATTAAAACTACAACATTATCAGCTCCCAACTTTCATAAGCCCTGTTGACTGTGGGGCTAAGTGCAGCTTCCTGATTCTTTGTCATCATATCCCCCTCATAGTGGAGATGTCTGTTTGCACCTTCCTTCAGTCACTTCTACTAGGTCTCCAATGCCACAGGAGGCTGCGCTTCAAGATTCTTTTGTCTTCTGTATTCCTCCTTGCCATTTTTTCTTTCCACTCTATTCTATACCTCTTGTGATTTCTACACTCAAGGTCAGTAACTCCCATTTCCATTCTGCAATCACACTGATGTATTCAGGTGCTGTTCTCAATTCTAGAGCTTCTAGCTTTCACAGCTTTTATTTCCTATCTTTACATGCATTACAAGGATACTTTCCTTTACATCTACTGTTATCAAATTCCACTGTTTATCAGAAACATGTACAGAACTAAAGAATCAGTATTTCTAATAAGCCCCTAGGGGGCGCTAAAGCTGCTGGTGTAGCTATCACATAGTGAGATCCACTTTCCATCACCGAGTTTCAGGACAGGGGATGTGCAATGCTTGTCTGCTAATCTCAGCATCTGGATCATGCTGGGTTTCTGTTTCCTTTTCTTCCTTCTCCGATCTACCTTCTGCATGCTTTAGTTAGTTGAAACATGCATGGTCTAAATGTGATGACTGGGTTTCTGTTTCCTTTTCTTCCTTCTCCGATCTACCTTCTGCATGCTTTAGTTAGTTGAAACATGCATGGTCTAAATGTGATGACACAGAAAATCTGGATTGTGCTATATTCCCACAAGGCTATGTATAGGATTTGTACTTTTGTTCTGTTTTCAGTTTCAGCAAACTGTCTTGTCGGCTGAATTCAAACTACATACTCTGTCTCTTTAGAAGCAACTTAAATGTCCACTCTGTTCTTTCCTCACCTAGGCGAACCGGAGACATAGATGACTCAGGAGTTCACCAACAATGCAAATGCTAATGAATGAAGAGGATTCTGGGCTTTGTCCATCTGGTTCTCCACTGTCCAAAATTTTATCTTACTTTCTAGTATCTATATTTGCCTGGACTCAGTTGTCTCGCACATTGTCAGCTTGGCTATCTTCACACTGTGAGTATAGAAATATGAACATTGTCCATGGCCCTTCTTTCCAACTGCTTGCTCCGCCCCACAACATGTCTGGTTGTCTTTATTCATGTTCCACAATGCCCATGTGAGTGTTTTTGATAGTAGGTCTGGAGTTAAATAGCTATTTCAGGAAGATCAAGTCAGTATGCGTTTTCTCAGTACTGTGAGCAAACCTCTCTCCAAATATTACTCGCAAATAAATGTGGCTTTCCCCAAACAGCAGCTACTATAAATTGCAATCAAATATGCTAGAGTACTATAAAAACATATCTACTTTGAAATATGTAAACTCATCTAAACAGATTCCTAAAACCAATAAAAGACTGTATCATTGTGTGACTCTTATGAGGATAGAAATCAGAGTCGTTTAGATTTAAGTGTCTTTTTATAAAAGCAGTTGAAAAGGCAATTGTGTCCTCATGTAATCAGAACAAAAATTATGTCCTGAATGCTTAAAAAAAAAAGTCAATTTACTCCCTCCCTGCACATTTCTCTAGAAATAGGAAGCAGGGATGTTTATGGTGGGCTGTTTTATATTCCTAACCCCCCCAACACATACAAGTCACCCTCTCTCGTTCACACAATTACATATGAAGCCTCTTTCTGATAGCACAGCTGGATGGCTGCATGGAGAACCTTGAAGTTAAAAAGCATTTTATCTCACTTAATAAGGAAGAGCTATAGCCACATAACCTCTTTTCATTTCCTCTCTCTGCTTGAGGGTAATTTATAAAAGATCAATAACAAAACTGTTACCTCTGAGTTTCCTTTACTAAGCATTTGGCTATGTCAATCCATCCCATAACCAACTCTGATTGTTAAAACATCCCCAGGGAAATGTCTTCCACACATCCAGTTCCACACTCCTCTTGTACACATGAGATGCGTGATTAAAAAATGAATTCATAATAAGCATTCCATTAAAGAGCACTTGTAGCAAGCTAACAAATTCAGCAGAATCCCAGTATGCAATGCATATGCCAGCAGGCAGACAGCACTCCTGTCTATTAAATAAATGGGGAGCCAGAAACAAAAGCATTCCTAATGAATACACCAGCAAATTCATTAAGCCAGATTTAATCTTGGTGACTGAATCCTGGAAGCTCCAAAGACAACCTGGTATGTGGTTAATTGCTCTAGAATGAAATGCTATATAGACACGTCTGGATAAAAGGAAATATTCAGAGGGCTGGTAAGATGGCTCAGTAGGGAAGGTGCTTGCCAAGAGAGCGTAAGGACCTGAGTTCAGATCCCCCAACATCCATGGAAAAAGCCATGTGTGGCAGCATGTGTAATGCCAACACAGGAGGTAGAAACAGAAAGACCCTGGGGCTTGCTGGGTAGCCAACCTAGCAGAAATCAGTGAGCGATTTGAGAGAGAGAGAGAGAGAGAGAGAGAGAGAGAGAGAGAGAGAGAGAGAGAGAGAGAGAGAGAGAGAGACTGCTCTAAATAAATAAATAAGGCAGGGCCAACGGGGAAGACACCTAGCATTAATCTCTGGGAAGCCCCCACACTAATCTCACTCCCTCTTGTGCAACTATGCTGCCGTGGGAGAAACACGCTCTAAAAATGGGAGCAAGGAATGATGTGAATTTTTTTCCCCAAAACTAAAGAGTCAGGGAAGGAATGTTTTCCTTGTGAGGGAGAAAGCATATCCTTGAACAGGTTTCCAGGCATTACAGGCTATTTCCTCAGTCTTCCATGGAAGGCAAGCCAATATATTCTAAGACGGGGACATCCACATAGTATAAAGTCGTGTGTCACTGGATTTAGTAAGCCTCGAGGGGTCCTGGAACACAGGCAGACCTGTCACCACCACACAGTTTAAAACAGTGCTATGCTGCTACAGAGGAACCGACCCTGTCCATCAATGTCATTACCAAAAGGGCACATGGTCTACTGAACCCTTGTTTCCAATCCTGCTGCCGCTGCTCCCCTGTACTGAGGAGGGCACATGGACCCAGTAACCATCCTACTTCATGTTTCACCATCACAGCTTCACTTATGCTCAGACAAGCTTCTCTGAGGCCATGCTTTCCCTTCCTGCTCTTTTAATTCTGTCATCCCTGTGACACAGACAGCCGTGACAGAGGGTCAGTCAGTAGCTCTGGGAACACAGGGTCAGAAGCAAGCCTTTGAATTTACAAACGCTAGGAGGGGTAGGAACTGCAGGTCTCAATTAAAAGGGCTGTGTCATTTCTTCTTAGCATACAGGAGTTACTTTGTTAGCTACAGGTAAGTTGAACATACTCAGGGATACACACTTCATTCTTAAAACAGAGGTGACAGCTCATATCCCTCGCGAGAGTCTCCACGGTTGATGAAACTTTTTTGCCAACTACTTCACCAAACTTTGCTAATGAGTAAGTTTATTTGCCTATTTCTAGTTTATGTCACTAAAATGCTGCTGCAATGACAATGATATAATAGTTTAAAGTAAACCCTGTAAAAGGATGCTCTGCTGGCATCTTATTAGTAACAAAAGCACACTTCCTAACCTACCTACCTACTTACTGAAAACAAGGTTTTTTATAGCCTGGGCTAGCCTCAAACTCACTATGAAGCAGAGAATCTTCCTGCCTTTACCAACAAAGCACTATCACACCTGGCTTATGCAGTGCTGGGAAATGATTCACTCATTCCCACAAGCATTCTTCCAACAAAGCTCCATTCCCAGCCCAGGATCACACACTTTAGTAAAGCCTAGGAGCAAAGCATCTCTGTTCCTTGACTCTTGCAAAAGTGTGGGGGGGGCTAAACTCTAGCATGCTGAAGCTACTATGCCTTTGTTAGGCAGTTTATCAGAGCAGCCTGGCATCATCCACACAACATAGAATGAAACTTGTTTTGAAACCTGTGATGGTTCCAGCATCCTGCTGTGCAAGGTAGTACCCCACATGTGATCACCAAATAGGAAAACAAAATTCACAAAAATGTACAGGGCATAGCATCTACAACTTCAAAAGAGAACAAAATGGGAAGTGTCTTACATTTCTGAAGCAGAAGGGTGGTGCTTCTTCTGCCCCATGCTGCTTGTGATAATCTGCCCAATCGAAGTCCTGGCCCGAGTAACCTGTGAGGAAAGAAACACACAAGGTCTGAGCTGAGCTGAGTTCCAAGCAATAGTCAGTCTGAATGGGCTATCTTTGGAAAATAAGAAACTTAAGTTTAGAACCAAAGAATGAATGAAGTTTTCGCAAGCCTTGAAGCTCTCTAGCTTTCTTGACTATCAAGGGAAACATTTTTAAAAGTGGAATGTGTTAAATACGGAATCATGTGGTTATCTGGGACCTTGACAGTAAAGAGATTTACTACTCAGAACAGCAGAGAGAATTTGAGAGAGCGAGAGAGAGGAGAGGAGGAGAGGAGAGGGGAGGGGAGGGGAGGGGAGAGGGGAGGGGAGGGGAGGAGGGGAGGAGGAGGGAAGAGGAGAGGAGAGGAGGAGGGAAGAGGAGAGGGGAGGGGAGGGGAGGAGGGGAGAGGAGAGGAGAGAGAAGGTGAGTGGGGGGCACTTGTGTCAAAAAATGCTTCAGAAATCTCTTAAGGAATTGTTTTACGGGAACTTGAACCGACAAAGGACAAAGATTGGGCACTACCATCATCATAGTCGGGCTGCACCTTTACCTGCCCATTCTTCCCAATCAAATTAAAACAAATACAGACAGCCACTCCCTTTTCAAGTCCATGAATCAGGGTGACTGCACTGACTATGTATGTATGAGGTGGGGTATTCCTACCCAGCTGGGCCTTTCTCATTCAGTACCAGAGGTGCTCTCCTCTCCTCCCACGTCTTGTCATGATTGCTAAGGTGAATATACATTATCTGTGCACACACACACAGAGAGAGAGGAGGGCAAAAAGGGAGGACAGGAGAAAACACACGGGGAAGATCTGAACAATTCAATTAAGTTCCCCACACTTGTTTCTCAAGCTCCTCTCAGAATCCTCTACCTACCCCAAAGCTTCACACCAGAAAGGCCCCAGTCTCCCCTATCTCTATTCTGCAAGCCCAGCAGGGCAGTACCAAGGCTCTTTACACTCCTGCTTTCTTCCTTTCTTAGAGGGACTTTGTCACACAAAGCTCTAATTGCCCTCTGTTTCCCATTTATACTTTAAGACTCAGTCCCCTCTGCTGTTTCTCCCTCCCAGTAGAGCTTCACATCTAAGAACACAGGCCTGAGAGCTCAGAATATAAAGCTGAGGTAGCTAAACTCAGCATTTGCTTCCATGTAGAATCTCTTCCTGTAATTCTGCTACTTCCTTGATTAATTCTGTTTGCAGAAAACAAAAACAAAAACAAAACCCTTGATGAGCGGGTTCTGGGTTCAGAGGAGGGTCTCAACATGTACGCCAAACATCTCAATAACTCTACCTCCAGAGAACCCAGGCCCTCTTCTGGCTTCCAGTCGTCACACACATGGTATACATTCACACACACACACACACACACACACACACACACACACACACACACACACACACGAGCATAAAAGCTAAAAATTAAAACTTCATGAGATGGTGTGGAAGTACCTGGAAAATCCAAAATGGATGCAATGGCAAAGCTTTTCATGCCCATTCGAGTTCGTGACACTCATGAAGGAAAATGTGTGTGGAGGAGAGAACAACTATTGCTGTCTTTTCGTAATGCACTCTATGTTTTGTTTGGAACTGGAGTGTTCAGTGGCTGGGAAATGACTAAACAGCCTCTGCTGGCTGGCTAAAGAACTCTCAGGGGTTTGCCCGGTTCTAGGCCTACAGCCCTAGGCCTATAGGCACATGATATTCCACACATGGCTCTCATGCCACACCATACCTGGCTCTTTTATTGGGTCCTGGAGACTGAGCTCTGGTCCCCCATGTGTGAGAGACAACCCCTTTACCAACTGAGCCATCTCTCCAGTACAAAGTATTTTCTGATATTCATCCAGTTTTATGAACTGCATTTGGGTGTCCTGTGTGGAGTATATCTGTTTAGACCAAATCCTCTGACATAGAAGTGCCCTGCCTGTTACATACAGATGTTTCGCTGGGTTTTCTACCACCAATTTCTAATTGGCTGCAAAATGTCACACAGAGTGCCATCTTGGACCTGCATTTAATCCTTCTATACATCCAGAGTGCAACAGTGTCCACGGGGAAGCCATTTTTTTAATCTAATAATTTCTAGATATAATCGTCTTGCTGGGCTTCATCTTAAGCAGCAATTAATTATCTTGACCCTAAAACTCACTCATTTACTTGAAAATTGGAATGACTTAGACTCTCCTCCCCCTTCTCCCAGGGACTGTTATTCATTCTGTCATTTAAAATTCTTTTCCTTTGGGCTGATAATGAGCTCTTTTTGTAAGGCAGTTTTGAGACAGCTCAGAAAATAACTACTACATAAAAAAACAAATTGCCATGGATTGTATAATAGAGACAACAGGGGTCAATTACACTCATTCATCAACAAAGACAGAACAAGAAGTACTGAGGCTTAAGCACAGCCAGGAAAACATGTTTTAAACCGGGAGGGAGGGAAGAAAATGGTAAAGAGGAGGGAAAAAATAAAGAGGAAATAAAACGCCTTAAACTATTACAATTCCTAAGAAGCCACCTAGGGAGGCTGTGTGAATGGCAGCCATTAAAGGCATTTAAGCCTTTATTACTATTGATTTTGAATGACCACATTCCAATGGTATGGGTGCAAGGGGGAAGAGACTGATGACCCATTTTCTTGTGATACAAATTAGCAGACATCAAGCAGCTCTACTTACAGCCACTAAGTATGGTTGTGCAAATGGACCGTGCCTTTGAAAAACTTACAGAATAAAGAGTTATGCCATTGAAAGTTTCATTCCTAGGAACTTATGCCATACAAATGACCCCTCCAACTGAAAAGTGGGTTATATATTAGGAAATGTATGGTAAGTTTACGAAACTTGGGGAAGGCAGAAATAACTTTCCATTAACAAAAAATGACATAAGATTTACCCAAGACTTCTCTAAGTCCCTCGGATATCATACAGGCAAGAAATTGCATGGTTAGGGGGGAAAATCATGAAGATATAATAGTCATGGCCATAGCTAGAAAGACTAATTGTCAACATATGTAATTACTAGAGTTATGCAAAATACGCACAGAACAGAAAAAAATATATAAGAAAAACAATTGTTTTGACTTGGGGCAAATGTGTTCAACTTCTTTGTGCTTTTCAGGTTTTCACTTCTGACTGTGAAAGGACAATAGTAAGAAAAAAAATTGGTAGCCTCCCTCACATCTTTGTTCTAGTATAATACATAGTCAGATCATGTGTCAGTCAATAAAGGTACTGAACAATTTGTGGTATATATAATGAATGACCCCTCCCCAAGTCATTCCCCTCAGCTCCACCAATCCGGATGTTATCCAAGTATCGTGTACAAGCATCTCTGAGTGAGGCCTCACTTTGGTACAAAGAGGTGAGTCAGGACTGCCTCTAGTGAGTCATGACTGCCTCAAGGCAGTGACCTTACTCCCCTCACCTGGTCTTAGAATGGGCTTATCAGGAAAGTTTAAGGTAGGATTTTACTCTCTTACAAAGTAGACACACAACAATAAAAGCCCCTCTTTCATGGAGCCTGATTATAAAAATGAGCCATCACAATAAAAAATAAGAAAAACGCAAAAGGATGTCATGTTTACCATCTACCAGCTGGACAGGAAGAAAACTAAAAGATTACCACATTCTAAAGTCAGTTGGGACACAAGAACTTTAATACTCTTCTGGAAAAAGCACAGCACAAAGCACTATGGGGGAATGTCAGCTTGTTAGACTGCCAGTCTTCAAGGATGTGGTTCAGCCTTTATCCTAGACATTTTGTCATTCCCACAAAAGAAAGCAGACTGACCCTATGCATGCTGGGTGTGAGTTAGAGAAGTAAAGCAAGTTGACAAAACTCTTCCCTTTATGGGCTCAGATTTCACTGACAAAAAGTAGAGAAGGTACCAACCTAAAAAGTGCTGGAAAGATGACTCAGCCAGCGAAGTGTGATTTATAGACATGAGGACCTGAGTCCCACATCCAGGACTTATGTTTTTCAAGTGGTAGGGAGGGAGGGAAAGGAGGAGGGATGAGGGGAGGAGAGGGAAGTCAGGTGTAGGGATAGGGATCATGATGAATCGTCACAAGACATTGCCATCAAAGAACCCAGGAAAGAGACACAGCTCTTTGAGGATGTGGGGGTAAGTCCTGCATGGAAAAGGTATCTGTGAGCCCCAAAACACAGGTGTGAATTCAAATATCTGCAAACAAAATGGAAAGCCTGGGGAGGAATAAGCTGCTAAGAACAAAATTCTTACAGCCATAATAGAAATGAAAACGTATGCAAAGCAATTCTACTTTGGAATTTAAGAGGACCATGAGCTGTGGAGTCTAAGAGAACCTTATGTTGTAGAGTCTAAGAAGTCCATGTTCTATGGAGTCTAAGAGGACCATGAGCTGAGTTGTGGCATCTAAGAGGATAATGTGCTGTGGAGTCTAAGAGGACCACGTGCTGGTGGTATTTTATACACAAAAATCAACCAAAAAAAAAAATGGGAGCAGTGGGGAGTATCAAAATATTCACCTACACATCTCAAGACTCTGTCCATAGTCATTTAAAATAGATATTCATCCATTCCCATGGGAATTCTTCTTTCTATTTACATTCACGGAATCACACAGAAAAGCAAGGGAAAGTGAAGGAAGAGGAAGGGACCAGAGAGACGGTTTGGCTAAACACTAGGCACAGTGCTTCATCTTGTAGAATAGGAATTAGGCTGGGCAGCATTTAATAAGAGGGTACTGTGGGCCAATTAAGATACTTTACTGCTTAAATGAAAAAACCGACATGTTGTTTCGAATTAGGTTAGAAGACAATGGATATCTCCAAAAGTAGACTCTAATGTCATATAAATATCAAGGGTTGACAGAAAAAAAAATAACACCTTAAAAATATTAAAGATTGAGTAAGTAAGCAAACATGATTCTTAGTTTTTGACAATGGGAATTACCTTCAATGTTAAAGACAATGCAGGTACACCTTCTTAATTTGTCTGAATTAAAAGTTACC